TTCAACAGTTTCAAATCCTCTTGTTAGTCTTCTACCAATTTTTTGAGCAAACATATTGATTTTTTGTTATATTGGCTATTTCATAACATTATTTAAAAATCCATATAAATAATCCTTATAAACAGTGCAAGTTATATGAACTTTCTTGATATCTTCTCTAGCTTTAGCTGAAGATTTATCTTCCTAAAAAAAATCATGGATTGTTGCATCCAAAACTTAGAATACTTATCCCAAAAAGAAGATTGAATAATTATCACCAAAATCAATATTTTTAAATAAAAATGATTTACAATCAATAGCTAATTGAAAAACATCTCTTTAGATATTTAATTTAATATTAAACTCTTTCCTAAATTTATTCAAAAATTATTATTGATTTTAAACTCTTTAATAGAATTCTTCTTGTTCTTCATTAGGTAATGGTTTTATTTCAGACATCCTCCTTAAATTTTCATGAAAATTTCTAAAAGAAGAATTCTTATAAGAATCGAAATCAAATTCTTAATATTCATCATAATCACCCATGACAAATTCAGAATCACTTATATCATCCTCTGAACCTTAAGAATTATCAGAAGAAGAAAGAGACAAATCATCAACATCAACATCCTCTTATCCTTTTACTATTTTCTTTGACATGAATACATCATCATAATTTGAAGATCGGTCTTTGTACGATAAATCATAACAGACATCAACTTGTTCATGATTAAATAATTCACAGAATGGAACCATAGTTACATATTTCAATCCTTAGCCTCCAAATGACCTTGAGACAATATGTGTGTAAAGCCAGATTGCATTTTCTAATGTTACTGTCCCTGGTTTAAAAAGATTTCTATATTTATCTGTAATATATTTAAGAGTTTTAAAGGCAACCATAAAATCTTAATGTTATTTTTTGGCCAATTTGACTAAATATTTATCTTCTAAAAATGCTTAATCTTCTGGTCTCCAAAATACTGCGTAATCAATATCTCTAGGTAAATTAGAAATGAGTAAATGCCATTTTGACTCAGAACCTCTCTAATATTCATAGAGTAAATATGCAAGAAATTAGTAATCTTCCCATTAAGGAAGGAATTTAGGACTAAACAACTATGGGTATTCCATAAAAATTTGTTTTAAAGGAGATTCAAATGCATGTAGAGTTGTTAATAATAATTCTTTTGGGAGAGAAACCAGAGTATCTTTTGGCATAATTGGCTCCGTTGCTATAATAAAATTTTGTAAATACCAATCAGACCAGGATAACTTAACCCATTTTTTGTTTAGAACATTGCATACTAAACTTTATTGATCTTTAATCCTTTTGAAGTAAGTTCTTAAATATATTTCTATAATTATTCAGGAGCTTCAGGAATAATTGCTTGAGGATCAGCCTTCTTCAAAGCTTTTATTTTGCGAAATTTTTTTCCTATACTATGTCTTTTCATATTTAATTTTATTTATTGAATTAATTAGTAATATAATAAATATTTTCATAGTAGACTCTATAGGATTCTATTAATCAAATTTTAAATTAGAAAATTGAATAATTGTAGATGATAAAACTTAAAAATTCTTTAATAAAGTAGTAATCTTTTTTGAAAGAGGTTTTCATATGACAATATTACATTTATGATATAAAATTGTTATTTTACTTTTGAAATTATTAGATATTGTTTGCGAATTTTTGTGAATTCGATTTTCTTTTATTATATGCTTTTTTTATTCATTTTGCTCATTCATAAATATATATACAATTGTAGAATACTTTTAATAAATTTAATGATTTAATTTTACTAAGTTTAATCCTATTAATTATTATATCTTTCATGTCTAAATTATGTTTCAACAATATTAACTATCTTTAAAAATATATAATTAATAGATTGTTATAAAAACATAAAATTAGATATTTAATTATGTATAATAAATTCAATCTAATAATTTTAACATTTTTTAAATATCATAAAATATACAAGAATTTATTAAATTATCTCATAATTATATTCATTAAATACTGATCTCTTTCAATCCTAGGATATTCTTTATATTATTTTTTGCAATTGGATGATAGAATGCTTCATGAGTTTTGAATATTTATACAGCAAAATCACTATGATAATTATAAATAATACTGATCTAATAAATTTAAAGCTCTATATACTGGATAGACCATCTTGCCTCTTCCAACAGATCCTAAGAAATCTGAAATTTATTTTAATCTAGTTTTATCTCCAGCTGTTAAAATTGCTCTAAACCATCTAAATTTCAATTCAAAATCATTCTCTTCTGTTAATTTTAAATCCTTATCAATTTATTCAATAACATTTAATTTCAATAAATTATTCTATGCTTATTTAAATAGATCTTCTAAGAAAACTTATTTTTAGGAATGTAAAAAATTAATATAATCTTCCCATTTAGTTGGCTATTTGCCATCAGCATTAATGTAGGATTAAGTATAATCATAAGCTTCAGTGAGTTTTACAGTTGAAAAATCTAATATTACTGGAGGTAAACCTGGGGAATAAACCCATTTATTCCAATTTTCTAAGATTTTGTATCTCTTAGTAGAATAATCATCAACACCTTATTCATATAGGTATCTAAGTAAAAAGTTTTGGAATTCTTGTTGATCAATTGATTAATATTTATATTAAACTAAATATGCTCTAAGCATCTACTGAAAATCTACTTCTCCAACTATTGATTCTAAATAAGTTAGAAACTAATATCCTTTTTCATAAGGGATTTTGCTGAATGAATCATCTGGATTAAGTCCAGTAGTATCAGGATGAAGAGATGAAAAATTACTATCAAGACCAAAGCCAAGCATATCTTAATACATTGATGTATTTCCAATTATAGCATTTAATTTAATATCATCAGAAATATTATAGTGGAATAATGATGCTTTTCTTTCAAGAAATACTGTAAATCCTTCATTAATCCACATATTAGCCCAATTAACACATGTTATGGTGTTACCAAACCATGAATGCGCCATCTCATGAATAGTTACATCTAATCCACTTCCAGTACCAGTCATTATTGTAGGATTAGCAAATGTTAAAAGGGGATTCTCCATACCTCCAATAGGAAAGGATGGTGGTTAAATTACTAAAGTGTATGTTCCCCAAGTGTATGGACCAATATATTGTTCAATGGCCTACATAAATTTTTCCATTTCCCTAAGTTCATCTGTGTATGCTTATATTTTGTCAGGCTCACTCACCAAAAATGTTCTACCTCCAGTACTTGTTGGTACTTTCTTAATATTACCTGCAACTATTGCAATCAAATAACTAGGAATAGGAACTTTTTAAATAAAATATTTATATTTCCATGTAAAACCAGCTTAATCTTAAGGTCTATAAAGAACTTGGAATTCTTCTTTACTTTCATCTGCTGACATAAATACATCTGCAGCTTCTGTATCTTTAAATATCACTGTTGCAGTGTAAGTTTATTTAACTGAAGGAGTATCTTATAAAGGAGCCAAAGCTCTACAGTTTGCATCTTCACATTATGAAAATAAATAGGGCATGGCTTTTATATTTTAAATGATTAGTACTTTTAGTTGATGTTTACTCTTTTGTCATAAAACTAATTGATCTAGATCTTGAATCAATAGAGTATTTTATAGATAATTCTATATATTATCCTTTATAGTAAGTCTTATCTAATTGAATATTCAATCGCTAGCCTTGATCAGAGTCTGCATAAGGATAGTCAATTGTATGTTGAAGAGATAGTCCATTTTAAAGATATGTGGAATAAATATTTAACTTATAGATATCCAAAGTTATCTATAATACATCAAATTTCATACTTTATTAATTGAACGACCAATAACTTAAAATTTATAAGTTGAAGTAGCATTGATATATTTTTTGTCCATATTTAATAACCATTCTAAATGCAAATGCCTATTTTAGACATCCAAATAATTTGAGAATGTATTTACATCAAGCTCATATGTTAATGCATATTACATCAATGAAATCATCAATACGATCATTAATAAATAATTATTTTTAATAATGAGTATTATCATATAAATAAATTCCAAAGTAAATCCTCATAATTATATATGAATTGTGATATATTTTTGAAGGATTGAAAAATATAAATAAATAATTTCTCTTTTATTGTGTTTTCATCAAAACAATAATAACTGAGTAATTAATTAAATAGGATTCTCATGACATTTAAATTAATTTCTTATCATTGAGATTTATATAGGAACTGTATATTACAAGGTTGAATCCCTTGATAATCCTAAAATCAAAATCAATATTTTTTATAGATATATATATAGAATTATATATAAAGCATAAAAAATATATTTTAATCTTATTTATCATCAATATTAGAAGATCCTAGGATTAACTCAAAATTAAAATTTATCATGGTATCAATAATATTATATAACTATATTATTAAAATTAATCATACAATATTATGGATTACATCTATGATTTACTAGCAAATTTAATTTATATAAATAATTTCATTTCTTTACAATATAATCAATAAAATAAATTATAAATTCTATGTAGTAAAGGTAGACTAAAAATTTTGTTTTTAATCTCTAAATCAATCAATTTATTATAAATATATGTTTTGTAAATACATTACTATATTTGAATGAAAGAAAGAATTTTCCTTAAATCTGTATACCAGTTTTAGGAAATACTTTCGATAAAAGGTACAATCTTAATTGTCAAATTAGAATTTGGATATATTTGAATTCTAATATATACCAATTAAAATTTAACAGTAAGATTATTATCTATTATTTTAAGTTGAAAAGCTTATAGTTTGAGTTAAAGTTTAATAAAATATTTAATAAAGAGAAGATAAGTATGAACTCAAAAATTATGGTGTAGTAGTATTTTAGAGTAATTCTACAATATAAATTTTTAGTATTTAAATAAGATATTAAAATGAAGAAAAATATTAAGTTTATAAATGTAATCGTAGAAAGATTTTCCCACAATATAAATAAATCAAGTAGTTATATTTTCACTTTTAGCTCCTTTTAAATACAAAAGGTTTTAGATGTTCTCGCTAGCATCTAATCCAGTTATGATACAACCTTTAGCTTCAAATTAGTCTTTATCAGAAAACGTTTTATATAAATTGTACTCATAATTATAATTATCATTTTAATTTTTAATCTATTTTTAATACAATCTATAAAGTTATAGCTTACCACTATTGGTTATAATAAGAAAATCCTTTCCATTTGGATGTACATTGATTGTTTTGAGCTGTTGATCACATAGAAAATTAGGTAATTCTATTATGTATTTTTTAAAAGAAGAATTAAGATCAAACATTTCATATATCAGTATTTATTTTGATATAACTATGAATGATTTGTTTGTTAAAAATTTAAAAGAATAAATTTTAGAATCAAATTAATGTTCTTCTTCTTAAACATACTGATTTTCATTTTTTAAAAGAATTCTTAAGATTTATTACTATTATTCTTGTTTTTGTAATTAAAAAATATACAAAAGTATTTATCCATCACAGGAAAATTAAGATGATACAACAGGCATCTTTGGTTAATTATTGTAACAGATCTCTTTATTTATTTGATTTGTAAAATTAACAATTTTTTTATCTTGATTATTAAAATATGTTATAGTATCTACATAACAGAAACCTGTATTTTGATCAATAATTTATTCAATTCCAGTCGAATAGAATTCATTAATATAAATCAAATTAGCTGCATTACTAATAAAAATTTATTGTTAAAAAATGTAAAGAACATCCAAACCAGTTTAAGTAAAATAAATTGGTATTTCAGTTTATTAACAATATAATTATAATTCCAATTACTTACTTTCTGTTATTTTATAGAGAGAAAAGTTATAATTTGAATGCATTGCAATAAAATTTTGTGGGTTAGATGAATATTTTATTGATTAAACAGCCTATTGAGACGGAATTGTACAGTATGTAGTATTATCTGAAATACATATCAACTGAATCATTGATTGCTATTATTTCATGAAAGTAAGAATTAATAGATAATCATATTATGAGAAATTGACCATTGTATTAGCTGGACTTTTAAATCGATAACACTATTAATATAAAGATTCACCCCCTTATTTCCATATAACAATAATAGAAGAGTTATCTGATTAATTTATATCTTGATAAAAACATGAAGCAATTAATTATTAGTCATGCGAAATCGAGAAATTATAGCATAATTAACTCATACTTAATATTGCACTATTTTCATCATATGGTTCCAATTTAATGGTTTAATTTTTCTGTTAATTTTCATTTTCTTGTTTATCTCCGAATAATTAAGTTACAGCTTAAAGGATTAATCGATCATTTTGATTTGAAATTACATATATTTTATCCTAAATCTATAAAAATTCAAATTGATTCGAAAATTCTTTGTTTTCATTTTAATCATCATCTGTCCACTCCTAAATTGTTTCCTAAGTATAAAAATTTATCACTCGAAAGATATGTTAAAAACCTATCTTACTTCTAATTGCTAAATATTAATTATCTTTAGTAAAACACATATATAGAATTTTTTCATCTTGTTTCTAAATTCCTATTTAATATTTCTAATCTTAATAAAATAAAATCTATCCATTTTAAGCTATTGTCATATTTTAATTATTAGCTGAAACAGCAATAATAAAACTTGACTCTTGTTTTAAATTAATATATTTATTATCTAGAAGTTTTGGATTTATTATTTTTTTCATATCATAAATGTAAATTTATTCACTTATTATAGCCAAATATTAGGATTTTTAATTGAAGATTAATTATTTTGCTTTGAATGGTAGCCAACCTATTAGTTCACAATTTGGAAATTTATAAATTTTAATACCTAAATTAGAACTTGTAGCAAAAAATTCATCTGAGAATACTAAATGTTCCACCTTCTCTATTTCAATAAAGATTGTATCTTTATTATAATTATAAAATAAAGTTTTATCTTATAATTATATTACAACATTTTATCCATCAGGTGAATATTAAGCATTTTAAATTTCTGAATCTATAATGTTGATTTATAAATTAGTTTCAAATTAGATAGCATAAAATGAGATTTTATTGTTTTTATATTATGCTACTCTATTCTAATCCTCGTTTAACTAAATAGAATTAATTTCATTATCTCTGGATTGCATTGAAAATTTTTTAATCTCATTAAAATTCCAATCTTAAATTTTAACTTAATTTGAACAGAGCAATGCCAAAGATTTATGGCAATCGGAAACATAAAAATTATTAGCATTAATTTCTTTACATAATTCTATATATTATGTATAATCCTATCTCCTCTTTAAATTACATAATCTAATTTTATTTTTATCATTTAATAAGACTATTTTAGTATCATCGTTATTTGTTGCTATTTTTGTAGTAATTTTAAAATCATTCTTTATTTCTTTTGGAATATTATTTTTCTCATAATTCCAAAAATGCAAGTTAGAATTTGAAGATACATAACATAATATTGCTTTTGAAGTTAAGAAACACATTGAATTACAATTATGGTCATTTGTTATTTTGCTTATGAGTTGATCTTTATCATAATCGATTATAGAAATTTATGAATTTATTGAATTATTTTAATCCTATTGATTTTATACCATCGAAACAGCAATTATTGATTAATCTCTTTAAAAGCTGATGTAATTATATGTATCAAATAAATTCCTTTTAATTTAACTATTATTAGAATTGTAAATTTCTAGATTTTCATTGATATTCCATATAGATATAGATTCTGATTTTAAAATTCCAATTATATTACTCTTTTCCTTAAATTATAACTATGTAATTCCATTTTCTGTAATTATTTAAGGTTCTTCTATTCCTGTTATTTTATTCCATTTAGAATTAGATAAGTTTGCTTAATTGAAATTACAATAACTCACATCAACGTTTTCCCAATATGAATCACATAAACTTGCTTAAAATAAACTTAAACCATGGATAGTTATATCAGATATAAATATTCCATCTAAATTTTCTCTTTCTAAATTTAGCTTAAGAATTGACGAAAGATAAATACTATTAGAGGAAGATCTATGATATTACCTATCTTTGGATAATTTGATTAAATTAATTAGTATTTACCTTATATTAGATGTTTTTGATAATTACTCTTAAAGTAAAGAAACTACTCCTGAATAATTTTCCTTACATAAATTTACTTCATTAAGATAACAAGGTAAAGTTGAATTATTTTTACCAAATTCAATAACCTCTTCATATATAACTTTAGCTATAAAAAAAGATTTCAAGATTTTTTTTTCGATAGGTTATATTAAACACAACCTCTTAATAGTTTTTATCTATAGAGTTTACTCATTGCTCTCATTTTTTTGCTCATTGTTCAAAAGTTATTATTCTTGTATTATCATATTCATTTAAAATTTTAATACTTTTTCCTTTGTTATTGAGTGTTTTGAACAAGCAAAATTCTTTTCTTGAATCGAATCTTGAATATATTATTCAACAAGAGAATTGAGATATTCATATTTTGTAAACAAAGGATTTGAAATACATTTTATAAACATATTTCTATCAAAAATATTATCTATATCAATTGGTTCTAAATTCTCATCAATCTTTTCTTAAGAAGATGAACTTATTGAAGAGGAGTAATTACTATTAATTCTATTTTCAAAATTTTTTTCTCTTAAATTTTTAAAATTAGATATTTAGTATATAGATTATCCTTAAGAGATCTATAATTATCTTTATTGACTCTTAGGATTTAGAGATAAACTTAAATTAATCAAAAGTTTGAATTAATAATGAAATGAGAAGCAATCAACGAATGTATTCTACATAAGGAAGTTTAATTATTTCAAATTTAATAAAATCTTTTATAAATCTTTTTTGAATTATTAACCCTATTAATTTTATGAAAATTCAATCTATTAATAATGTTCTTATTAATTAATTAAAATTTAACCATCATCAATGTTAATATTGATGATTTAAGCAATTGACCTAATATTAATATTAATATTATTGCTTAATATTTATTTGTTCATTGTAAGTTCAATATAATCTTTTTACTATTTTTCATTAAATTCTTTTATTTCAATTTCAATAATTCTTTAATGGTAATCTTTAAATGCTGCTAAGTTTTTTACTTATTCTCTAGAAATTATAAAGAATTTTTTATTTTTATTCCCAGTTTGATAACCAAGCATTTCAATTATGTTTTTGTTCTTAAAATCTAAACTCAATTAATCATAATAATCAAAAAAGATATACACCTTTTCCTTATCTTCTTCATTTAAAAAATTTTAAATCTACCAATCACAAAAGTTAAATGGCTTGGCTGAAAGAGGGCTTTTTAAAAAACATTATTCCTATGGATCTTCCATCTATTCAATTTTCGTTAAATCAATTGAAATGGGTATCCCTTTAGATTTCTCCCATAAATAATTAATTATCTTCTTAGCTAATGTTGTTTTACCAGACTTTATTTTCCCATTAATCCAAATTATATCTTAATCCTTCTATTCTAACAAGTTAGTGAATTGTTAAGGATTAAAAATTAATTCATCGAGAATTTATTCATCAAGATTTTATTATATTTTTATTAGTGATTTGATTTTTAAGTAAGGATATACATAAGTTTCATCAATTTATTATTATTAAATATCTTTTATTGCATTTTTACGAACAATTTCTAACTATTATTAATAATCGATTGGTTTTGGTTAATGAACTTATTATGAATCATCAACAATTATGATTTTCTCTTTTATTATATTTTTTTAATCCTATCTATTTCTCATATTGTTCAAATATTACAAAAAATCATCATCTTAATATCCTTTAATTATTTAATATGATGAATTAATATAATCAATAATATCTTTATTATTTTTTAAAGTTTATTCCAAAATAACCAAATGAATTGTTAACCATTTTTGAATTTCTAATTAACCTTAGTCTTTTTATTTCAGAAAAAAATCAATAAAGATTTCATCATCATATTTTATTTTTAAAAGATTATTTATAAAGCTTGTTATTTAATTTTTTTAATCTTCTACTAAACTTAATCTATTCATCAAAATAAATAATGCTGCTATAATTATCTTATAGTTGTTTTTCTAAATAAATTAATCATTATTTTTAATGAAATCTATGAAAAATGTAATTAAAGAGATTTCAAAATTGTTTTAATTACTCATTTAAACTAATTTATTCTAGAATATTTAATAAAAATAAAAGGTTTCGTACTGATTAAAATTAGAATTTAGAATTTTTAATTCATTCCATATGTTTTAATTTAATTCCTATTTGTTATATCTCATTAAGAGCTATAAATTTGATTAATATTTTGGATTATTATATTATTCTAAGTTTTATAAAGCCTATTGTAACAGTTTAAAATAAAACTCAAACATTTATAGCCATGAAGTATTTAATTCTTTATCTAAATTCTATCTCAAAGCGTTTATGGTATCACTAAATATTTTAAAGGTTTCATGATACTATTGTATAGGAAATTCCAGTTATTAAAATAATTCGAGAAATATAGTAATTGTTTAACATGAATAAATTACAATATCATCATAAAAATTGTTTCTTATTGATATAATTTTTTTCTAATCATTTAACTGAGTATTGATCTCAATAAGTTCTTATAATCTTCGTGTGATTTCTAGTGACTTCTAAGGCTTAGTTTAATTCTTAGAGTTACATATACCTCCTCCTCTAAGTTAATTCTTTTATTTTGATTTGTAAACATTGAATAATTATTGCTGTTATTTGAAGAATACTTCAAGATAAACAAAATAATTAATTTGAACAATGTGTTTCCAAAATTTTCTAAATAGTTAATATATTTCAATTTTTGAATCTACTTTTAAAGGATTCATAAATTCACTAGTTTAAAATTTATTAGTGAATGGTGCCATTCTTTTATTTAATTATTGAACAAATAGTTATGAAATGGATTAAATTACAAATCTTTTTTTAATATATATTAGTATATTTTCATTTTAATAATGCTATTTTTTTCAGTTTTTTTTTATGTTTAATCTATAGTCTTAAAGATTGACTTTAAAAGATAATTATTAAATCTAGTAATTTTAGAGAGTTTTATACTTGATATATGGATAGAACAAAAAATCTTCAGAGTTTTTTAATTGAATTATAATAGTGCAAAAAAAATTTATATTTTATATATTCTGTTTTATTCTGAATAAAATGGAATGCTCTATTTGTTGTGATACGACAGAACTTTTGGATTTGCAATGCAGTTGTCAAATCTGTTAATGCTGTATGTTAAAATCAATTGATGCAAAGTATTATGAAGTGATTGAGGAAATTCATTGTCCTGGTTCATGTTAAAGCAAACATACAGTATAAGGATTAATGTAAAATTTGGGAGGATTGAATAATTTGTTACTTGAAAAATATATGAAAACTACTTAAGATATTAGAATATGTCCAAGAAATGATTGTTAATATGGTGGAATAATAAAGAATAATTGTTAACAATTTGAATGTGAATGTGGATATTAATTCAAGTTAAGAGATGAAAAATGGAATTTAAGAAGCATATTTTTGAATTTTATCACAATTAAGGATTGTCCTAAATGTTAAAGAAGAATTTTTAAAAATGGAGGATGTAATCATATGACATGTAAATGTTAATATGAATTTTGTTGGATTTGTACATAAAATTTTAGAGAGCACAATAAATTATTGTGTTCTGCAAATATTATAATGAAGATTTCTTTATTAATCTTGATGTTATTAAATATTTTTTATTCATTAAGATTACTTGAAAGTTTTATGACTGTAGTATTAATATTTGTGAAGTAATTATAATAATAATATTTTATTTAGGTTAATATTATTTAATGGCAGCCTATTATTCTTATATTTAGGTATTAATGAACTATACTAAATATCAAAATTGAATTTTGAATGTTCAAAATATTATAGTAATGGAAATGAGACATTTAAAAGAATTATAAATTAAAAATGGATAATGTTTGTTGTACTCATGAGTTAATTTAGTCTTCTTTGTTTCTTCTTCTATTTATGCTACCAAGAATAGTATTATATTATAATATTTAGATTCATTGAAACTTACTGTCATTTCTTATTTTCTGAACTTTCAATATTTTTAGTGTTAGGTATAACACTCTGGATAAGATCTAAGAAATGATTTAATATATATATATTAATTAATTGTATAAAGATCATGTTAAAAATACTCATTATATCTACAATATTTATATTTTTTATAAACAATTATAAATATTTAGACAGACATACAAAAAATATTCAAGATTAATAATTAAAATATATAATTTTGTACTATACTGATATGTTTTAATGAATCATCATTACTTTTCAACTTATTATTGATCTTTGACTTATTTTTTTTCTAGTGCAGTCAAATATAAACCATTATCTTCTGGGAGGGAGATTAATGACTTTTTGCCTTTACCAATAGTGAAGATATTGTTAATTCTTGTGGAGAAGTGTTTTCCATTAGAATCCTAATAATATGTTGATATAAAATTATTACTTTAACATGGACAATATCAAATGATCCAAGATGTCTTTCTCTATGTTGAATAAGTCCAACTCTTCCAATATTGTTACCTCCAATAATGTAACATAAATTTCCTTAAAAGAATAATAAGATATATAAATACCTGGTTCTTCTTTAAGGAATTCAACAACTTTTCCTGATTCTAAATCAATTTTAAGAGTATCATTAACATGGATATCTGGATTTGGATATCTGATTGTTCTGGCATCATTTGTTACAATGTATGGGACATTGTTTGGACCAACTTTCTTTTAGGTAACTTTAACAAGCTTGAATTTAGCTTCTTCTGGTTTGATGGATTTTAATATGAATTTGCCTTGAACATCATATAAAACTCTATAATTTTCTCTTGTTTTATCAATTGTAATGACATCTATAAGGATGATATGAAAAGTAGATACCCTATAATCCAACTGGATATCCACTATCAGTTCTCACTTTTCCATCAACCTTAATGTTACCATCCTTATCAGCAAGAATCATGGTAGCATCTCTAGCATACAAGGCATATTTCAATTTATGTTGCAATATGACAGAAAGTGGAATTGATTCTCTTAATTTATGAGGTCCTTATGATGGTCTAATGGTCCAATTTCCTCCTAATTTTGAAAGCATCCAACTTTTAGGTGCTGTGATTCTTTTCATGTGTTTCTTTGGTCCTCTTGCCTAAATTTGATATCGATATAGTTTTTACCATAATTGTTTCAAGAAAAAATTAAAATCTTTTTTAATTTATTTCAAAATGTTCACATTATAAACTAAAACTAGACGTTTGCTTCTAAATATTTTATGATCACATAAAAATATAAAAAAAATCATTATTTCTTCTATTTCTAATTAGATTAATTATTGGTATCATTTATAAATTTAACAATAGGTTACTTATTAGTTGTCTAAGCAATACCTCCAGATTTTAATCCAGCTCTAAATTATCCATTCATTTATTCTTAAAAATGCTAAATAACTTAATCCCTCTTTAATTAACCAGGTACAGCAACAGTAGCAGCATAATTGTCATAATTTTCATAAGGGTTGAAATCCTACCATTTATTCTTAAACTATCCAATATATTTTATAGGCCAAAGTAACAACACGTAGTATTTTGAATGAATTCTGTGGATTTTGTGGATTATTCTATTATTATTATATCTTTTTTTATTTTTTAGGTTCTTATTCATCAAATCCTAATCCAGCTTTTGAAACAGTCTATCTATTAATAGCCTAATTAAGAATTTTACTTGCATCTTTACCTCTAGCATAATCATAACCCATTTTCTTTTTCATTCTATCCATTTTAAAATGATCATCTAAATTTGAAATTTTTTCTCATTTTTGAGATACAATCTATCCTGCAAATTCTATGCTTATTATTAACATAATAGCTAATTTCCAATCTTATTTCTATACTAATGAATAAGCAGCACCGTCACAATTTCCAGCTCTTCCAGTTCTTCCTATTCTATGTTTATAAATATCAGAGTAAGTCCCTAAACTCCTGATTGTTGTTTGATTTCTGAAATCAATGACTCACATTAATCCATTTAATTTCACAAATATTAATACTTTTCCATTTTAGAAATAAGTTTTTAAGTTCAATAATTACAGGCATTTATTTAATATCTTTATTTACTTAATTTCCATTCTCACCAATTTTAATAACAATAGGATCAATCAACATAACTACACATAATTATCTAATCTTCTTTTTCATAGTAGCAGTAAATAACAATATTTATTAATTAGGTCTTATTTGATTTATTATAGATCTAATTTAATATTCTAAACCTAAACTAAACATTTAATCAGCTTCATCAAATACAACATAAGTACATCTATACATATTTGTAGCTTTCATCTTAATCATTTCAATCAACCTACATGGATTAGCTATTATTATATCTACACCTGATGTTTATTTTCACCTCCTAATAGAGCACTGACGCTTATATATAACAATTGTGTATATTTTTTAGTTTCTATAAATACTTAATATCCTAATTCTCTTGTAGGCACAATTACTAATCCTATAGGCCCTTCTTTTTTCTCTACTACTCTCTATGCACTCACATTAACAAGCATAGGCCAAACATATGCTATAGTTTTACCTAATCCTGTCTTTGCAACTCAAATAACATTTCTTCCTGACAATACACATAGTAAGGCTTAACTTTAAATTGCAGTTGGCTTCTCAAAATTTTATGCTACTTATTTATTAACTAATTTTTAGTCCAATTAGAGATGTTCAAATGATATTTGGGATATTATTGCCTTTAATATGAATTTAATATTCTCTTTTTATCTTTTCTACTTGAGTTACATTTAAATTTGTTATTTCTTCATGTTCTTAATAAAAATTTTATTCAAATTCTTCATATTAGATTTAAGAATGATCAATTAATTGTAATGCTTCAATATTTTTTTTCTTTTTTTCTGCATCTTCAATTTCAACTATATCAATATCACTAGGCATTGAATCCTCGCTATCTCAATTTTATTTTTTTTCTTATCATATACAAACTGGTTTACTTTATTAATTCAATTTATTATATTTCATTAATTCATATTATGATAAAATAGGGTCTTCATTCTCAAATTATTCAACTTCAAACTTTTTCACTTTTATGGTTAAGCCAGATCTTATTAATATTATTTTTAGATATCTTGCATATAAGTATCTAATGGAACTAGTTCATCATCTTATTATTCATCTTTTTTTAATTGTTCCATCTCTCTTTATCTTACTTACTCATTTGTTAATATCTTATCATCATTATCAAAATACTTAGCTTCATCAAAATCTTCTATCAATTACTTCTTTTGCATAATCTATTTTATTTTATTTATAATTATGTTTAAATTAAATCCTAAAAAGGTACTTATCAAAACACCTACTATTTATGATTATTAAGCTAATTTACCTGTTGAAGTAATTGTCCAATGTAAATCTAGACTAGAAAAGCAATTGTATTACATGTAATGAATAAGAATCCAAAACTTAAAATTAAAGGAGGAACTTCAATGACTAATCCCTACAAAATACCATATGAATTAGCCATTGCAGATTAAATTGAATAAATGGAAAAATATAAAAATTCCATTCTTTGGTCTCCTAGGATGACTCCTAAAAAATTCACTTTTGCTTTTATTTATCCTATGGGATTTGCCTTAGTCTTACTTTGGTATATTCATAATGTTGCCATTCCAAGAAGAATGGTAGAAATGAAAAGAAAATATGGATATGTATATCCTGAATTAGAATCAAAGGGTTGGTTAGATGGTTGGTGGGATTATGAATAAGAAGAAACAGAATAAATATTTGATATTATTAATATGGAATTTAAAAAAACAGAAGATAAAGTTAGGAATAAACAATACACTGATTTTACCATTTCAGATTTATAAAATTTTGGTAACAAACCAACATATGAAAATTCTGGATAAACTTAAAATATTATGAAATCTGGAAAATAAATCATGTAAGTAAAGGAGAAATAAAAAATCTAATCCTAATTTGAAAAGATTTTTGAGTTACAAACAAAACCATCATAATGATTATTCTATCTTTATATATATATATATACAAAGTAAATAACTATTTATGAAATTATATAATTAAAATTTATTGATTTTTATAAAATTTATAATTAATACTTCTAATTAATTAATATATCAATAATAAAATAATTATTGTTTATTAATAAAAACTATATAATTATATAAAGAAAACGAATTTTTTAAGAATAGGTTTATCACAAAATACATCAATATCTGAAATATGAACTTGAAATACTTTAATTTATTAAATGATATCATATTATATGATATATTTATATCAAATTATTATATCTGGAATTGAATTGCTATCAGCTAGACGCAATATTTTTAAATACTCAAGCCTATGTATTAATGGTTAGAATACTTTGCCATATTTTTATCTGATAAATTATATTTCTAATTATTTATGTTATCGCCATATCTAATATACATTTCTAATTCTGATAATATTTATAAATCTTCAGCTTTTAATTAAATCTTGTTTCTTTTTACATCAAAAACCATTTAATAAAAGACAAGGTCAAGGATATCTTAATCTGATTTATTGAATTAAAAAAATTCTTTGATTGTCAAATAGATTTCAAATCTTTTATTCAATTTATACACATTATTATTAATTTCTTCATGAAATTCTAATTTATTAAGGATATCAAAGAAATTTGCAGATTCATCAAGCCATGAAGTATTATAGATGGTATCAAATTTGGAATGTACTACAATTAATCCAAAATGATTCCAATTATTTATTTAACCTATATAATTACATGCACTTCTTATAACTGATTTAACACTATAATGATGATCTACTTCAACCCATATAGGAGTATCACTATGAATAAATAATTTGACTATTGATTATTTACATTCAAACATTAATTAGATTTCATCTGCTTTTGGTAGATATTTTCTAGGACATAATGGTATTTTTATTTCATTTTTAAATACTTATTCATTTGTATTTAGAGCAAGATTCTTAATTAATTATTTACAAAATTTATAAATTTCAGGATCTTTAAATAATTTATTTTCTGGATTCTCAATTTTATCTACTAAATATTAAATGTATGGTATTGGATGATAATATGGAATACAATGAGTTATAACAATACATAATCTTAATAAATGATGTAAATGTTCTTTTTTATTCCCTTCAATTTATTTAAATATTTATAATAATATTTCTTCTCTATTTTCTTGATTACATTCATAATCTTCTTAATTACTAAATCTCCTTCCAGCAGTCTCTAATTATATAGTTTTTTTTAATGCATCAATATCAATTGTATGAGCTTTAATTAAACTTTTAGGAGCAGGAGGTAATTCAATTTATGCATCATTCCCTATTAATGCACATAATATTTTCTCTAAATGTTATTTAATTGTTTAACGTGATCTTTTCATATGTGCAAATTTAGTAATACTACGAAATACATTTAATGCAGTAGTTTCATTTTATAGTTTTGTTAATGGATGTTTTAGATTTTCACTTTAACATTTCATAATTTTTTAAACTTATTTACCTTCATGATTTAATACTTGTTAACAATAATCATAAAATTTATGTTTTTCCATTTTAGATATAAATTCTTTATCTAAAAAGAAACTTAAATTTTTATCTGGAGCTGATCTAATGTCTAAAATCCTTTTATTCAATTAACAATTATCATATATTATATAAGGTTATGATTTTGGATTTGAAATTAGTTTTTATATTATATAAGTCTTTTTAATTTCAGATTTCTTTTATTATACTATTTATTCTTATTAAAGTTATTTTAAAAAACTCATCTCTTCATCTTTAATCTTTTATTGAATAGTTAATTTCTATTTTATAAATTATTAATATTCACTTTTTATCATTACTTATGGTGTTGCTCCAAAATATATTTTGAATCCCTAAGATTCTATTTATTCTAATAATTCTTTCTTTCTTTATTTTTCTTTCCAATATTCTTATTTATCTTCCAATACTTCATAAGCACAATAATCAGAAACATCTCCCATTTTCATTTATTTATATTTTTCTTTTGAATCATCACTTAACATTTCATATGAATCCAAATCAGAATGAAATTAATTGGATATTAATTTTGCTTTTATTATCCTTCTATGTACTTATTTTTATTCATCATCTAAAAAAGAATAAGCATTTTATTAATAATCCAATAATTAATCTTCATCCAATAATTTATAAGCTTCATAATCTGAAAACTCTTCCTTCTTTAAATTTTCTTTTTCTTATTCATAAATATTTATCTTTTCCTATAATAATGCTTATTTCTATTATAAACTATTAACTTCTTCCCAATCATAAACTTGAAGTTCCTTTAATTATTAATCTCTAAAAGTTTTATCTTTTAATAATATATATGCTAAAGAGATTTTTCTATAAACAATATCCTTATTCTATAATAATCTAAATGCCACACTAGAATTAGGATGCAAATGATTTTCAAATAAAATTGGGTTTATAATATTTTTTAAAAGAATTTACATTTTCTCCTTCTATTTTCTCTCATTTTTCTTTTCAATTGTCAAATTCATATAAGCCAAAGAATCTAAATCAAAACAAAAATTTCCTATGTCATTCATCCTCTTCTTTCTTTGTTAATAATCATTTAATTATTATTTTCTTTATAACCATTAATTTTAACTTAAAAGATTAAATGCAATAGAATCTAATAAATCATATCTAACCAATCCTAATTCATCCAATCTCTATTAGGCTTACAATCGTAATTGATATAATTCTTCATACTATTTAAGATTTGCCATTTATTTAGCAATTCCACTTTAACCTTCCTTTTTTAATCGAATATACTCATTTACATTATCAATTGAAAGATATGCCTCTATATCTGATATATCTTCACACAATCTTAATTTTTACTTGTACTTAATATAAACATCTTTATTATTATCAAGTAATTTAAATGATTCAAGATCTGATACTTCAACATCTACACTAAATCTAGCCATACTTTACAATAGTTTTAATGGTTTAAATTTTGCTTTTTCTTATTTATATTTATCTTTTTATATTGGTTCCAATAATAGAAAGGCTTCCTAATCTGATAGTGGATCATCTACTAAGAATCTTTTTTTACATAATTCTCTTGGTCTTTATTATACCAAATATTGTCTTCTATTTTATTACTATTATTCACTTAATAAAGATAATGCTACATTCTTTTAATTTTATAATTTTTTCTTTTTATATTCATTTTATTATCCAATAGTTAATTATTTAAATGCTTCTAAATCACTTAAGAATGGTTCTAATTAATCATAATATTTTTATTTAAAATCTTTTATTTTATTTAATCTTCTTTATTATTTAATTTTCAATTATTAATTTTGATCTAATAATCTATATGCAACTTAAGTTTAATTTTATTTTTTCATAATTAAGTATTGAAATTTCTATTCTTATGTCAATAATTAAAAAGATTCAGGATCAGATGCTTCATTTTATATTACTTCTAATTCTTTTAATTATTATTCTATTTTCTTCTTATTTATATTATCTTTCCTTTAAATCTATTACTCTTATGTTAATAAACTATAAGCTACATCTGAAACTTCTTCATAAATTTATCCATTTATTAAACTATGTTATTTTTTCTTTATATGTTCTTTCTTTATTTTTTTATATTCTTCTAATTGATTTTCATTCAAAAGTATATAAGATTCATCATCTGAAATTTCAATTATAATTTCTTCTTCTTTTTCTTCTTTTAATTAAGATTAACTTTATTTTCTAATTTCATTTTCAATATATGCTAATTCACTTTCAGATATGACTTATTATTCAATTGATTTAGTTTTTGCAATTTTCTTAACACATGCCAATATTACTTTTCTAAATTGTCTAATTCTATAGGCTCTTTATATTATTTTAGCATAAACACTTAATTTTAAATTATGATTACATAGCAACTTATTCAAATTTTCTATTGCTTCTTTTTTGAAATATACTTATGATTATCCAAATAATAATCCTTTTGATTATGTCAATCGTTTACATATTTCAGTAACTAACGCTTTCATATCTTAATTACTATTAATATGTTTTTAAAGAGAAATCTTTTTATTAAATATATCTAGATGATGATATCTTTAATAAAAATCATTAAATGTTAATCGATAAGGATAACTATTTTTAAAGAATTTAATTGAATCAAAAATTCTAAATTATCCTAAATCTTATTTATTTTAAATGACTCTTATAAATAACATTTATGTATCTTTTGTCATTATATTATTCAATTTTCCTATATTAGAAGGAATCTAAATTTTATTTTCAAGTTCTTCTAAAATAGATAAATTATCTTCAAATGAAATTTATTTATTTAATTCATGCAATTAATCTTATATTAATTAATTCTAACAATTCTTAAACACACTCTATATATATATTTATTCAATCTTTTCTGATATGTATTCAGATAATTAATCTGACTTTCCTGGATATTCCAATATACTAATCATTTATATATTATCATTCAATTAAACCAAACCATTAATTATTAGAATTATCTTTTCAAACATATTCTAAAATTATTTAGCATTCTCAATTTTTTCATTTTGAATTAATTTAAGTATTTCTATATTTTGTAATTCTTCCCATTTTTATGTAAAGAATTAAGCATTCTAATATTCAGCAAAATTCACATAATAAGATTGAAATAAAAGTCCAATAAGTCTTCTTTATTTATAAATAAATCTATAATTTATTACTCCTTAAGTATGACCATTGTTATCTGTTATAAATGATTTAATTAAATTATAATACATGAGTGTGTCTTTACTTAGAAAATTAATCATATCATTTATAATTTATGTTTTACCATATCCTTTGTTTCCCGTTACAATAATCTATGAATTTTTTCCTATATCTAAATTTTAATATGCATAAAATAATGTTGAAAATATATGAGGTGGAATTGAACTCACAATCAATCTTTCATCAATATATTTTTTATATTAAACAAAATCTGCTAATGAAGTATTTACATTTTACAAAAGGATCTGTCTATCTAAATAAATTATGTTTTTTATTTTAAATAAAACTTCAGGTTCACTTATATGTGGCAATTCAGTAAGATCTATAGCTTTACTATTACTTGCTCTTAAAATCTAATTAACAGGTACATCTATAGTTTTGTTATCTGCTAAAATTACTCGAGCAACACTTCTTTAATTAAGCAATTTTTAGATGTGTCCTCTTGAATATTCCTCATCAATCGAAACCCAACAAAGTGCTCCATCAAGCATCCATGCAGTGTTGGTGTACATTTTATTTTATAAATAAATCAAATAATCTATGTGAATAATTATAAATTTATGAACATTTTTACAAATTAGATATTCAAATATAAATATTATGAAACCTTAAGATATATAATATATCTATCAATCCTATATTTTACATCTTTATATTTATTCTTTAATTTTTTATACTACTTAATAATTAGAAGGATAAGGAGTTACTATTTGTTAGTAAAGAAGATTCATGATGACAATTTAAAAGAAGAATATTCTTTTATTATTTAAAAAAATCACATTAAATATATGAGGATATATGTAATGTAATATATGTATTATAGAAAATCAAAATTAATTCTTTTTAGGTAGAATTGAGTCTTCAGAATCAAGAGTATAAATAATTCCTAGAACTCCATTGTTCATACCATAATATTTCCATTTAGGATCATATTCATCAGGAATTTTAAATCTTAGATCAAAAGGACCATATTTTCTTTCTTATTTAAGATAAGTTGATTTATTAGTATATAATGATATTTTCTTATGTCCTCGTACAATAGTTGTAACATTCTATCTATAGATTTCAACTTCTTCAAGTTATACACCAGGTAAATCAATTAGTATTATATATTAAGTTCCTTGAATAATATCTATCTATGGTTCATATTCTTCTGGTTCTTCATTGTCAATATCAATAGGTGTAGATGTGAATTTTGGAGTTATTAATGTTGAATTAAATTTAGGGGAGATTGTTTATTATTTAATAATTCTTTTTTCATTTGGTAAATGTGTATCTTAAATTGTTAATTTTATTTATTTTTTTAAGAGATTACTCATTTTCAATTAACAAACTTCAACAATATCATTATATTTTAATATTTTACTTTGATGTGGAACAACTACTAATTTTAACCAATATTTTAATAGACTGTATGTCCAAGGATTAATACTTTTACCTAAATCAGAATTGTCATTAACTATACAAATATGTCTACTAGTTTCAGTGTTAAACCACATAACAGATTTTTCTTCTAATTAATTTGTAAATGGATTAATGGCTTCAACAGTTGATTTCTATATATTTCCTTCTAAGATTTTTTCAATTTGAACAGACCAAACATGTTAAATTAGATTAGGATTTATAATATCCTTAAGATTATGTATAACAATAATTTCTTTAAATTATTTGAGAGATGTGCTTAATTTACGAGCTAATTAATCTAAATATCTAACTTCAATGCTTGTAAAATCATTAACTACACAAATAAAATAGTCTGTTAATTCAAAAGAAATTTCAAGAATTGCATTTTCAATTTATTATTTCTCTTTTAGATTTTTAAGATTTTCAGGTGCATAACTACCAGCTGTATCTATTAACACAAATGAATTATTTTTGTCAATTATACATTATTTTAAACTGATTCCTTTAGTTGTTATTTTGGATCCTGTAGGTAAATTTTGATTTGTTAATTGATTTAGAATATGCGTTTTACCTTTGTCATATAAACCAAGTACTGCAACTCTAGCTCCTTTAAGATCATTGTTATTCACCAATAACTTGAAATATTGGATTTACAACTACCTTCCATGAAGAACTCATATTTAAATCCATTACTAAGTCATATATTTATGTATCTATTATATTATATTCTTGGATTGATGGCTTTTGAAAATTAGTTATAATATTTGGTATTTCATTGCTTTTTTCAATAATAGTAGGATTATTGAGTTAACTAATGATTGTTAATGTTTCTTCACATCTTATTTTCAATTCATAATGTAACGCTTCATAAAGATCAAAAAATTCATTTATTGATTACTTTTTCCTAAAAAGTTCAGCAAAAGTCTCCAAGAGATCTAAATTCTCCTTTAACAGATTACCCAAGATCTATAGACCACTACGGAAAGCATCTTAGTCCTTAATTACATCAATTCCTTTACTAATTTAATATCACCTTCTTATGGAGAACTCATACTACGTAAAACGAAATTTATTAATTAATATAAAATTTTTTTGTGTTTTTAAACAAAGTTACTAACTTTTAGGATTTATACTATTTTCTAACAACTCACATAAATTAATTAGATATTTATTTATCTGACAATATAATAGCATTTTATTTGCTTATGTCGGCCCCATCAAGAAATTCAAAAAGAAGTTCTTCTTCATTTATATTTCTTTAGATTACACAACTACAACTAATCAAGGTCTTCCAGGTCCAGCAAGTTATGAACCTAAAATAGAAGTTTCATATGTAAACGCACCAAAATGGACAATGAGTGGAACTAACTCTAGAGAAATACCCATCATTAAAAACCTTCCAGGTCCAGGATAATATGACATTAGATTACCAGAATCTTAAAGAAAGACTTTAATTTATGGAAAAGCTTATTAAATAGATAAGGAATCATAATAAAAGCCTGGTCCAGGAACCTACAAAGTTGAAATCTCATAACTCTCAAGAACAGGATTCAAAATTGGAAGCGAAAAAAGGTATAAGGATGAAAAAAAACTATCACCAGGACCTGGGGATTATCATATAATAATGAAAAATCATGTTACATCATATATAATTGGATAATAGACAAGATCAGGAAAAATATATAGTAATCATGTAGGTCCTGGACAATATGAAATTCCATCTTTATTAAGAACTGATGGAGGATTTAAAATGGTTCCTCGTAGAGAAAAAACTATATCAATGATTACACCTGGTCCTGATGCATATGAATAAGTAAGACAAGAAAGAGTAAAGTCATTTAAAATTGGGACTAGCAAAAGAGAGGGGATTTTTTAAAAGTCAACTTCTCCAGGTCCTGCAAATTATGATGTCTAAACAATCAAAGAAAGTGTAGGATATACAATAGGCAAAGGATAAAGATAAGATACTAAACTTGATGTACTGCCAGGACCAGGAAGTTATAAGCCTAATAAACCTAGTAATGCACCTAAATACTCAATATATTAAAGATATAGAGAGAAGACTGATAATTCAGGTCCTGGACCATAATCATATACAATAGGTGATTTTAGAGAAACAAAAAGTATAATATTTGGACAAGCTAAAAGAGATAGTTACAATAAGATATAGATACCTGTATATAATAATATATGATAAATTATAGGGACCAGGAGAATATGATACAGATCTAAAAGTAAAGAAACCTTAAGTAAGTATTGTATTTGGAAGAGAGAAGAGATCTCAAAGTTGTTCTGAAAATACAAAATTGCCTGGACCAGGTGCATATGATATAACTTCCACTTTTTTTGTTAAAAAGAAATGATTTCATAAAACTCATAGTATTATTGTTCACTTTATAAATATATTTTATATTTTTTATAATCTACATCATCTTAATTATCTAAATATACAAAAGAATCCTTTAAACAAATTTAAAAGATAGAGAAAGAGTAATTATAATATTGATTTAAATTGAAAAGTTTAATGATTATAACTATAAGAATTAATTAAAATAAATGGGATCGGTATGTTAGTAGGGTGATAATATAGTGAATTGGCCATGTTTAAGTAATCCTAGAGGTTCCAATCCAAGAACAACTTTCACAGTAATTCCTGAAGAGGACTCTGTAATCTACTCTTAATACGATCGCTCAGTTTTTACAGCGAGTTAATTTTATTAGAATCCAGAGACTTAAGTATTCGACTCTAAGTAATGTAGAGATAAACTGTTATATTGGGAAATACAATTAGTGGAAATAATAAACTCTAAATTTTGAATGTTTACATTTCTAAATTACTTTCTTCACATTCAATAAAGTAATAAGATAATTATAATAAGACTAACAAATACAAGAAGTAATGCATATGAAGTATCTTTAACAAATATTAATCCTGAATTAAGTTGTTATTGTGAATGGTAATTAGAGGCAGACAAGTTACCAATTTGTTCTGGGGATAAAATTGATGTAAAATGACTTGTAATGATTCAGTTGATACATGTACTGACAGGAAGATATCTTATGGCAACTGAGCTTGATGAAGAAGGCGTAGTCTATTGTGGTTATGGTTCAACTAGATGTTGGATTATTGAATTTGATGATAACATTTTAAAAGATGGAGCAATATTTGAATTAAAACATAATGAAATTACTAAATACTTATCTTTCATTAATAAAAAAGCATCACTATCACATAATACGTAGGTTTGCTTAAATGATAAGGAAGGAAAGAATAATTATTGGAAATTAGTTTTGATTTAATGATTAAATATAATCATATTTATTATTAAATGATTATTAGATAAGCTCAGCTATTTCTAAGATTGGTCCCTCAACCTAAATATTATCATGGAGGATTAAAAGATCAAGATCGTATCTTTACTAATGTTTATCGCGATGGAGATCCTTATATTCAAGGTGCCTTAAAAAGAGTAAGAATATTTATAATCATATAGGGTGATTGGCATAGAACAAAGGATATATTGACAATGGGTTAAGATTGGATTATAGATGAAATCAAAAAGAGTGGTCTTAGAGGAAGAGGTGGAGCAGGATTTCCAAGTGGTTTGAAATACTCATTCATGCCAAAAGTCAATCCAGATGGAAGGTATTTTAATTAATGCAATTATCAATTAAAGACCTTCTTATTTGGTTATAAATGCAGATGAATCTGAGCCAGGTACATGCAAAGACAGAGAAATCTTGAGACATGATCCTCATAAATTAGTAGAAGGAGCTTTATGTGTTGGATTCGCTATGAGAGCAAGAGCAGCATACATATATTGTAGAGGAGAATTCTGGGTAGAAGCCAATGCCTTATAATAAGCAGTGGATGAGGCTTATAAAAAGGGATTTTTGGGTAAAAATGCATGCGGTAGTGGATATGATTTTGATGTATATGTTCACAGTGGAGCAGGTGCTTATATTTGTGGAGAGGAAACTGTATTCATTTAATAAAAATAATTATTAGGGTTTAATAGAATCCTTAGAAGGAAAGCCAGGAAAACCAAGACTCAAGCCACCTTTCCCAGCTAATGCAGGTTTATGGGGTTGTCCAACTACTGTAACTAATGTTGAAACTGTTTCTGTTTGTCCAACTATTCTTAGAAGAGGAGCTAATTGGTTTGCATCTTTTGGCAGACCCAACAATAGAGGCACTAAATTATTCTGTATTTCTGGTCATGTTAATAATCCTTGCACTGTTGAAGAAGAAATGTCTATTCCTCTTAAAGAATTAATTGAAAGACATTGTGGAGGAGTAAGAGGAGGTTGGGACAATCTTAAATGCATTATTCCTGGAGGATCTTCTGTTCCTATGTTACCTAAAGAGATCTGTGAAACTGTTCTAATGGATTTTGATGCTTTAAGAGATGTTAGATCTGGATTAGGAACTGCTGCTGTTATTGTCATAGATAAATCTACAGATATAATTGATGCCATCTTAAGATTAAGTAAGTTTTATAAACATGAATCATGTGGTTAATGTACACCATGCAGAGAAGGTACTTCATGGTTAGTTGATTTGTTGGAAAGAATGAAAGTAGGAAATGCTGATTTTGCAGAAATTGATTAATTAGAAGTATTTAAATCATATTAAATTGAAAGGAATTAACATATTAAATTGAAGGACATACCATTTGTGCTCTTGGAGATGCTGCTGCATGGCCAGTTTAAGGATTGATAAGATCTTATAGAGAAGAAATTGAAGAAAGAATTGAAGATTATCATGCTAAACATCCAGTCAAGTCTAGACAATTACGTAGTCATCCTTAATAATCAAACCATTGATATATACATAAAATATTAATATCACCATCTTGGTATTATCTGAGATCTCTTTTTCTCTTAATTTAATAATTTTAAACTCTTTTTCTTTGCTTTTTCATCCTATACTTATTATATTTTCTCTAAATCTTCTTATATTAATTAGTATCTCTCTAATATGAGAGATCTTTTGTTATTACTTCTGTAGTTGTAGATTATGTGATTATTTAATTACTCTATTAAGTTACTATCTCTGATGAGTTAAGTTAAGTCTCTCTATTTCTATCATATTTAATAATTTTAGTCCATTGTCCTCCAACTAATGGTTCTGCCAATAATTACCATTTTCTTTTATAAAAAAACTAAAATTAATCACTTACAATCAATAAATAACATTAGTTGCATATTTGTTTCTAAGAATTATGTCATTTTATTAAATTTATCCAAATTTACTGTTCTACCCCAAGGAGGATTAGTAATTACAATCAAATCATCTTTTTATAATTTACCTTTAATGAATTCTTTATGCATGCTTATGAAATCCAATTAAGCAATACTTAAATTTTAAAAAGATTTACTTCTTAATTTTGGTGATTATTGACGTATGATTCTTTTTAAATTGTTAAAACAATCCAAAATTTTATAAAAAATTCTCAATTATTATTCATTGATATCATTAGCCAAAATATTTATGTCTAATTCATTCTATTCATTTTCTATATATGTATGCTTAAATATAGGTATCTGATATAGAGGTAAAAACATGCTTCTTCTAATACTTTTATTAAATTTTCGAATGAGCATAGTTAAGATAATTGTACCTGTACCACAAAATGGATCCCAACTAGTAATTCCTTTTCTCATATCTCAATAATGTGATAGAGCATCAGCAATATTTTCAGATAATGTTGCTCTGCCAATATATTTCTTGAATCCAAATATATGCAAACTTTCAAGATGCAACTAAAAATATATTGTCAAGTAATTCTAATACAAATATGTATTAATTAAAAATTTATAAATTGACATAAATAAATTATATATATTATAAATTCTAGAATATATTTATAATACTGATATCTTAACTTAATAATATTTAGAGGTTCAATCATAGGGTAGAATAGTAGTTATTAATCTTAGTTCCAATTTTTATTCAACATTGAAAGTGTTATTTGTAAATTTTATTCCTATTTGAAGATAGATCAACGGTCTACTAGCAAATTTTAATAAATCTATGTTATGAAGCGTAGGAATATTAAAGATAATTAAGTAGTCCTAGATACTCAATTAAATTTGATCTATTTATCTCAATTAATTTATTTTTAAATATAGATACATTATATATGATATTTAAAATATATAGATAAAAAAATCAAAAAGCATTGCACTTGGCCAAAAATTATAAGAAATGTCGACCTAGAATAAGATATTTAAGTTATACCATATTAGGTGAATTGATGATCTTCATATTTATGAATTTAGATCTAAATTTATTCTTTCTGTTTATCATTACATTTCGAGTAGAAATTTTGCATCACATAATTTCCAAATTAATTATTAATTAAAATTAGTAACATTGGAGGAAAACAATCATTCATAAGGCTTTTGCAAATATTTGCAATATCATCATCAGATGCTAATGTAATGTATTTTTAAGCTACAATACTTGATAATCTATTAAAAAAAATACCTGGCATATTTATCTTAACTGAATTCCAGAATTCTAGCTTTGATATATTTGCCAATGACTTCAAATCCTTTTGGTGATCCTTAATTGATCATATGTTGGACTATATAATTTCCATATTAACAGAATGATAATTTCTCACATAAAGGTATCAGGGAAATATAAAGATATTGTAAATTATGATTGGGAAATGTTTCTAAACATTTTTAAGCAATTCTACATCCATATGGATGAGAGACTATATGATCAATATTATTTGTCACAATATCAATTATAAATTCTGCATCTGATGCCAAGTCTATGATTTTTTAGATTACATGATTTCCACATTAATCGAATATGAGATTCAATACTTGATTTTTGATTGATTAGATTAATTTAATTTTTTGATGATTTTAAATGAAATCTAGTAATTTTTAAATGACTCTACATCCAAATTTATCATAACACATCTCTATGATATAAGGATGAAGCTATTCAAAAATTAGAGTTCTGATATTTTGATTACAATTTTCAATAATTTTTTGAATAACATAATTTGCAAATTTGTGTTTAGAGAGAAGTAGTAAATCATCTTTTATGGCTTTAAATATTTTATCTCTTTGTAAATCATTTCCTTGAATAAAAGATTATTGAATGATTAGAGATGCATATTAATCTTAACATTATTATGACTAAAAATAGAGTAGTAAAAATTACAATGGATTATTCTTAATCTGTTGAAGATTATAATTTCTTGGTTCGTTTTTATGAGAAAAATCCATCTTAATAAGAAGGGTAATAGATTGGAGGTTGAGAGATTATGTATTGATTAAATTCATGACTCATTGAATGTTATTTTTGTTGAATGAAAGCTGATTAGACAGTAAAATAAAAGTTATTTGGATCATTAGAAGGAAATTCTTATTAACTTATTTAATATTAATGATAATACTTTGCATCTTCAAGAACAGGTGGAATTTCTTTGAAATCTTTGAAGCTTTTGATAGGCTAGATGATGTAATAAAGAGAATATTTACAGATTGAGAATGTTATTATGATTTAGTGATTGAAGATCTGAATTCTGAACATTCTGATTCATTCTCTAATTATATAAGAGATTTATTACCATCTAGCAGAGAACCTATCATATCTTTTTCGGATTGTTCAGTTTCTTGCATTGATTTATTAAGTAATAAATACAAAATTATATAATCAATATTCAGTATTATTTGGATTTGGAGGAGTTGAAGAATTCTCTAATGAGACCATTAAATTTGGTTTGTAATTGTTATTATTTTGGTAAAGGTTTTAATTGTTGTTTGATTAATGTTTTTTTGTTTTTCTAAGGTGATTTAATTACAGGAATAATTTCACAAGGTGAGAATTATACAGATTGTATAGCTTTACGATCTTTAAGTAATCTATTGATTGTTTTTTATTAACGTATGACTTATTATTTAATATTTTATAGAAAGCAATTTGAAGTTGGGACATATTTATGACTTCGAGAATGAATAATTTATGGTTATTCAGTTTTGATACGTTGTTGTTAAGGTGATGTTGATTTTGAGGGTGATGTTTATAAATGCATACTTTCATCTAGTTCTGGTTTAGATCTTAAAATGAATAAAGGATTTCTTGCATAGATTCTGAAATTCTTTTTTTTATGATCATTTCTCATATACTTTCTTGCTCCATCTAATTTACTTAGAAAAACATCTGCTAATCTTGTTTTCTTATGATAGGCTATTTCACATAATTGATTAGGTAATTGATCTTCTTTTAGTGCTGTCTGTCCACATTGATCACATACACAACTTTTACGTCGAACTTGAGTTGTATCTAATTTTGGTCCATCAAGGTTCTTTGTAGAAAGATGATGTTTATTATACATAATATATTAATTAATGGATTAATCTGCAGTTGCCTTAAAGGTTGATATAAATTCAATTATTGTTAGGCTGAGGTTAAAGAGTATCAAATCAGCAAGATAGATAATAATGTCATTTTATTCATTTTATTGGTGTCTAAGAGGGATGGATAGTAATGGACATTAGAAAAGAGGTACTCTGAATTTGACGATTTGAATAATAACTTAAAGAAGGTAAGATAAATAATTCATTATAGGTATTCACAACTTTACCTCCATTGCCAGGAAAAACATTGTTTAAGTTGAAGGAACATGTAGATATTGAGAAGAGAAGAGTGGGACTGGATTATTACATTAAGGTAAAAAGATATGAATAAGAGTAGGAATTATTAAAAAGACCAGATGTGTTTAATTCTGAGTCTATTAAACAATTTTTATAGTTGGAGAAGCATGCTTAAGAATAAGTGGTCAATCCACCTAAGATGTTAGGAGAAATTACAGGATTCATACATGGATTAAGAGATTTCTATATAGAGAGATCATAGAGTAAAAAAAATCAATTATTAATTCTCTATAGATGTCATTTTTGTGTTGTCCTCAGATATGAATGTGGCTAGTAGAGTTGATGCTTATTTAACCAATATGAAAATGCCATGGGAAAAAGAAGCACCTCCAACTCTATTGGCAGTTGGATGTTTAGAATGTTGGGTGAAGACTAATGATGAGAACGAATTCAAGTATGAGAGAATGTGGAATAAAACCTATCCATCATAAGCAATATGTTTATATTGGGATGCAGTGACGTCAACTCTAATTGTTGGATTAGATGAAGGAAAATTGAATTTGTTAAAAGTACCTTAAGAAAGTCAATTTATAAGATATGATGAGGTACATTAATCATTAATTAATATTAGTAAGCAGATATCAAGGCACATTAGGGTAGAGTGATGGGTGTATTTTATGATTCCATAAATTCACATATTCATTCTGTATCAGAAGATAAAAAATATAAAGTACTTGATTTTTAAAGATAAATCACAGTTGCAGAACTCTAACCAAGTTAACATGGTTTGACTGGTTTAGCAGCTGATAAAGACAATAGAAGAATATTTATTTCAGATAAAGGAGGTTATATACATGTCTTTGAAATTACATCTGCAACTATGGGTCCATCTTTGGCTGTCTCAGTAGCATCTTAAACACTCTCTCCTATAAGAGGCATCTTTTTTGATCCTGTAAAAAACTATTTGTTCACAGCTGGTTTTGATTAAGGTGAAATTGGTATCTTTGAAGTTGGTAAATCTGGAAGAGAAAAATTTACAAAACAAACAGCAAGTTTGAAAGGTAAATTGTAAATGAGAGAAATTGTATGGTCACCTTCTAGAGGAGAATGTATGGTTGGAAATAAAGATGGTACAGTCACTGTATGGAGTGGTAAAAAGGCTGCACCAATATGTATTTATTATTTATAATATTCTTAGTTGTAATTAAGGCTCATAATACTGATATTACTAAACTCTAATGGTATGAAGATAAACATATGTTAGTAACAAGTGGAAAGGAGAAATCTTTGAAAGTATATTTAATTATTAAATTATAGTTTTGGTAATTGCCTAAAGAATGGAGAGATAAAAAGATTGAATAATAAGAGGAATAAGAGTATGAACAAATGAAGAAATAAGAAAATATCAAAATAAGTTAAGAATCTACAAAAAAGGTATTTCTATATATACATTTTTTAGAAAGAGTTTGATTCTGATGAGGATGATCTTAAAGGATGGCATAAAATGTGAAATGAATATCAAAATATAATAATATATATATATGTATAGATATATCATTTAAAATCTCATATTTATTGTTTCTTTAACTATTATATCTAATAATATATAGAATAAATCTATATTATATTATATAATTATTTAAATTAAAGATAATGGATATTGGAATCTTTAATGTATTATTATTATTATTATAAATAGATTAAAAATAATATAATGCATTATACTATTCATGTAGAATATTTTTTATTATTATATTATCTTTTATACTATATATCTCATACAACCTAATTTATTATTTATATTAATAATTAAAATTGTGAAAAATAGATCACTTATGATTTTACATTAGATAGATAATTTATTTAATATTTATTTATAAATTTTAAGAAGTAAGATTAAATTTTAATGAATTTATTATTTATGATAGTTTATAAAATAGATAATTAATGTATCATGATTATTGTTATGTTTGTCTTTATTCAGCAACTCTATTTAAAGATAATGTTATAGCTTAAGTCCAATTTTCAACATAAAAATCATATTAATCCTTCTCTTCAGGATTAAAATATTTGAAACATTCATCAGGTGGCATTTCTTTACTAATTAATTAATAATATAGATTATTACGTGGAAGTTGTTGCAAAACAAGAATGATCTCTTAGTAATTAATCTAATTTTTCTTCATCAGTTATTCTATGTTTATTATGTGAGGATTAAACTTCTAAAAATTTAAGTGCATGTTTTTTAGTTCTAACATCTAAACCTCCATGATAGATTTCAAATGTAAATGAATAAGGAATCTAAATGTGATTATAATAAATTTACCTTTAAATCATCATAAGCATAATCCATTGAAGTACCTGGAGAAAGATATCCAATTTCATGGCCACAAGATCCCATTTTACATGTTTCACAATGTTTCTCTTTAACTTCTGTTAGAATTTGCATCATATTGGAAATATTTTCAGATGCTAAAAATTTACATAATATTTTTACGTTATTCTTTGCTATAAGCATATGGAGTAAAAAGTGCCAAAGTTCCAGAATGAATAGAAAAGAAAACATGTGGAGAGAATTTCTTAAGTTCATCTCTCACTGTTTATGTTTCTGCTTCAGAAAATGCAAATGGTCCAGGAGCAGTTCTTACCATTTCTGGATCATGATCCTGAGTAATTAGTGTTAAATACTTTAGACCAATGAGATTTGTAATTACGATTCAAATCAACTCCATTTTCATTTTCTCTTTTACAAAAATCACCTGATTCAACTTTCTCTCTAGAAAGTGGATTAAGATTGACTATCATTTGTAATTCATAATTATCTTTGATTGATTTCATATCTTCATTTTAATTACAGAGTTTCTTTACAAAATGTAAACCCGTTTCTGGAGAGATTAATTCTCTTGCATGTTCTCCAAAAAGTAAAAATCCTTTATTTGGTTTATTTTGATTCTTATTTAAAGTGACCATTGACAATTTAGGATAATCTCTAACCATTTCTAATTCTACTCCATCACACTTTTCTATGGTTTAAGCAATTTCAATATAAATATCCTATATTGAATGTTTAAATTAAATAATACTGTAGAACGATGATAGAATTATGGAAATTCAAGGGAATGCACATTTAAAAAGATCATTACTAACAGAATGAAATTGTTCATTTTTATAATTTAATATTACTTACTTATAATTTAAGATGTTATATATTAACCTTTAAGGTATTACTACTGATAACATATTTACAATATTTGTTAATCTATAATAACAATCAATTAATATAATGGTTAAATGAATGAAGAATCAAACTATATCCAAGTATAATTAATATACATTTATATGAGAGGTTTCTAATAGTATGTATATATTTGAATTTAGAAATAATACATTTATTACATTTTAGACAAAAGATCTAAGGCTACTACCAAAAACTTTTCATCAAATCTAATTAAGGAACTAAGATTAAATTTTGATGAATAAAATATTAGAAATTAATATCAAAAAATTGAGGAATTAATTAGTTTCATAAGAAAAAGATTATTATCAAGTATTATCTCATTTGATCAAGAATTACTACATAAAATTAACCAGATTTTTTAATTCACTAATACACCTTAGTAAGAATAGATACTTCTTTTTTATTTCATCTCAAATTAATTAACAAGATATTATTTATGTTATTAATGTAATCTGTTGAATGTAAAGATAAAAAATGAAAATTTATTAAACTAAAATCATCCTAGTGATTAAACAAAATTGTGTGGAAAGTATCCTTTGACTTAATTCTTATCTTCTCCATACCACCATCCATTTGTTGTTTTCTTTAATAGTTTTATTTAATCTTCTTTCTTAAAGCTTAAATCTTAATCCTATAAAAATCATTAAATATCTTTACTTTCTATGCTTTATAGTCATATTTTGCAATTACATATTAATAATTAGACTATGAATTTTCCTTATTTCTTTTTGATTATTTATCCTATTCTCTTAATATTTACTAATCCATTTGGGTGGTTTCATTATCATTATTTTATTTAAATGATTGAAAATAATGAGAATTTTCACTAGTTTCTTAATTGACTGTTTTAGCTGCATTTAATTACAATTAATAAATTTTTTTATTTAATACTCCTTATTTGTCTACTAATCCTAGATCTGTAAAATAAGGACTACCCACTTAAGGATCATTAATGTTTATAAATTAATTAAATTGTTCTTGTAATAATACATTTCTCATAGGCTTAGGAGATTCATTAAGAGGAGGTGTGTGATTTGTTATTATAATATTATGTTTTGAATTATTATTACTTTTATTTCTGAAGGATATTTCAGATGATTCATTAAATTTTAAAGATTCAACATTTAAAAAGAATCCATTAACATCAAATTCTTCTGGTAATTAACAATTTCTGAGAGCAGGTAAATTGAGATTTTATGTTTTAGAAATGAAATCTAAAATAAATGCAGTTGAATGTTTTGATATTTAGATAAGAGATTCATATGCAAATAACATTTAAGGTTTAAAATGTTCTACAATTTTCTAAAAAAAGGATAGAAATTCTATGCAGATTAAACAATTATCACAAATAAATGATTTTAATCCATTATTAATTGCAATTTAATCTTATAATTGTTTATTTAATGATTCAGTTTTCTTTTATTCCATTTAAAGATTAAATTTTAAAGGTTTCATCTATTAAATTTAATCATTTATATTAATTAATTGATTCTGATATATTTTACGTTCATTTTATAGATTTTAATTGAGATCTTTATTTGTTGATTCTAATATTTAAAATTTCTTTGTCAATTCATTAAGAGCTAATTACAATATTATGGATTATTCTTTTAATTCTTGATTTTCTTAACGAATTTTTTCATAATATTCATCTTTATTAAGTATATTTTCAATAATCATATTGGCCATTGCATTACTTGTATTAAGAAAGAGTGCATCTTATTCAGTAATATGATTAAAATTCAATTTTCTGTTACTTTTTTATTTTTGAGGTGTTATATTTGGTGATATTGATTTCGTTTATCCTTAATTAACTTATGCATTTTCTAGTATTTATAATAGTTCTTATTTTTTATTTAATTATTTTTTAGTTTCTTTTTTGTTGACTATTGAGATTTAACTTTAAAGTTATTATATTGATTTTTAATTAACTGGTAGTATACCATCAACACTCTTATTTAATTTCTGATGTTATGAGAATGCTCCAGGTTAAATTTGAATTTTATTATTAGGAACCAATTTCTAAAGGGAATACATTTTAAATTTAATTATCGTTATATCATAAAAATATATGTACTATTAGTTTTGATTAAATAAAATAACATTCAGTTGATTTATGAACATATACACATTAGCAAATGAATTTGTATATAATTTGGTATTACTCACTTCTTTAATTATATTGAATGCTTTATGATAGGGAGGAGAATCCAAAAATTTAATATTATTATTATTCAGAATTACAAAATGATCTATTAAGTTTCTTATTGAAAATGTGCACAAGTAGTTAAGATTAATTTGGAGAGATGAAAATTAATTAATAAAAGTTATAATCATCTAGTTATTATATGTGCTTTGATGGTAAATTTAGCATTACAAAATCATAATAATATAGAAAATCTTAAATTTTGATTATCTTATAAATCCTATATTCTTAAAGCAATAGCATCTTTTACAATAATTAATGTATCTGGATTGAACTCATGTATTATATTATTCTGACATCAAGAGTCTATCTGCTTTTTAAGTAATATATTCAAAATAGTCTCCAGTTATTCCATGATGAACATATATAATAAATATAAATTCATCAAATACAAAACACTAAATTCTTTAATAAATCAAATCTATTGGATATTAAATCTTCAGGAATACTTAATCTATTTTAAAACTTAAGAGAATCATATTATGAAAGTGATAACCCATATTCAACTTCATATATTTTTAAACACTAAGGCTTCCCAGGCCTATAATTCATATATTTGAACTAATTTTCTGGATTATATAAACCTCATTCAATCATATATCTTAAAATTATTGTTTTGAAAACATTAATTCTCTTCATTTGTTAAATTAGTATATTACTCTCATATGTATCAGGAATCCTATATACATACTAACCTTTGCATTTTGTATTAATATCTTTACTATAAAGATATGAGTTATCATATATTTAATATCTTAAATTTTGGACTAAAATCCTTAATTTTAGTAGGAATCTGAAGTTAATGAATAATAGGTTTTATTCAATTTGAAATATACTTATTTTGCTATTAAGAACACATTTAGTTGTACAAGATTCCAGATTCTCAAATAGTAAGATGATTTTAATCATCTTTTGAAGATTTTTTATTAATCGATGTTCTTTTGAAATAGTTCATTAAATTCTTTAATTTCTAAGACAGATTGATATTTGATAGATGCAGTTGTACTTGATAAAAGATAAAGTTCTTTTTTAACAGCCTTCATTCTTTTTTTGATTGATATTACTCTTCTTTGATCAAAATAATACATTATTATTAAAATTATAAGATTAAAAGTGAGTTCTAATAAGTGATGACGGATGTATAATTCAATGATTAAAATAAATAATATGAAAAGGGTTTAAGATTAAGAAAAAAAGGGAAAAATCGTATCCAAATATATTATAATTAATTTAAATGGCTGGAGAGAAAATTTCAGGATAAGGGAAACGTAAATGCCAACCAAGATGCCCAGAGCATTAGTTTAATCTCCATCCAAAAAGTTAAAAGTGTTGGTTAAAGTAATCTACTAACATTGATTTCTGTCCCTTGTACAATGATGCTGTAACAGATATAATATATAATACATAGCTGGCTTGTTTTGAAAATATTGTTCCAGTCTTTAATTAGGATGAATAATAATGTTTACCAGGTTTCATATTAGAAGTGGATAGAGTAAGAATTAGTTGTATATTATTTAAATTAGAATGACTACTTGAGGAGCATGTAAAAATATAAAGAGGATCATCAAAGAAAGATCCAAGAATACACAATGAAGAAGACTAAATTGGTAATATATATTTAATAAATGTTAAGTAAATTCCAAAACCAGGTCGTAAACATAGATATTGTGGAGTGTGTCGTAAACCTTATGCAGATTACTTGGAAGTAATTATGATATTTTTAAAGAATAGCACATAAAATCTTCAGATCACATCAATTGTTTTAGCAGACATGATTTTGTGCATGTGATACTAAAAATAATTGATGAAGATTATAAATCAAGGGATGAAAATAAAATTTAAAACGACTCCAGCACATACCCTTCAAAAGCAGTGATGCCTAAAAAAAGAGGTCCAAAGCCAAAAGTATAAGTCGAATAAGGAGAACCAAAAAAGAGAGGAAGAAAACCTCTTGAACCTCAGACAGCAAAGCGAATAAAAACTTAATAAATGAGAGAAGTATTGATCCCTGCTCGATAATAATAACTTCCTGTTCCTCCTCCTCCTCCACAGACATACTTTCCTTAGCCATATTACTTTCAATATCATTCTTTAAATTAGATGATTCAATATGGAGCATTGTAAATTCCACCACAATATCGTGTTGGTTTTCCATTCCAAATGCCAGTTGTAGCTGATATGTAAATGGAAATGAGATGTGAAGATATGAGTAACTTATTCAATTACCTTAGTTGTAGATGGTAAAATTGATGATCGTCCTCAATTTGATTGAATATTATAATAATTATTATATTAAACACCTAAATAAAACCATCCCAAATTATTTCTTCACATTTTTGTGCAAATCAACCTCATATCACACTTACTACATTAATGTTTCATAAAAATAACCAAAATGGAGCTTATTCAAATCGGATAATCTTACACAAAAAATAGCTTAACTTATCTACAGAAACATTCATCTGGATGAACTTCGTAAATCTCCTTACAGGAATACTACAAAATACAAATACTCATCTTATTTTTGAATCTAATGAAATATATTTGGCAGGTATTATTAATATAATAATGATTTAGGTAATGATGAAGAACAATTACGTGTAGCTCAATTCAAAATAGAATACATAGCATATTAGGAATTTAAAATGATCTATGTTATGAAAGATCAACGAACTCATGTATCATATAAACCATATACATCCATATTTTATTCTAAAAACTACAAAGAACTCTATACTAAATATAGAGGGACTTGTTTATTTGTTAAAGACAAATTAATTAAGGAATAAAAATAATTACAAGAATAAACAGGATATCATAAGAATTTTGATATGGAAATGTATGAATCATTTGTGATTGCTTGGATACCTAAAAGGAAGGAATAAAAAATAATATAATTATTTTAAAATTGGATAACTGAATACAATCAATCAATTAATTTTACTCCAAAATATGAATTAAGACCAACTATTAATAGAGAATATTTTAATGATGCTGATCCACTCTAATAAATTGCTATGACTTATATTGATTTTATTCTATTCTATTCAGAAAATGATGTTGAATAATTTCAATTATAAAATAAAATCTTGATTAAATTGGTTGATGATGGATGGAAAATTCAATTTAAAATTTATTCATCAAATCTATTATATTGTTAATAAGCATAATAAAATATAAATGATTTTTTTAATTAATAATCATTAGAAATATTTAATATGGAATTATATGATTTGTGTGAAGATATTGACAAATTCATATTTGATTTGGAAGGAATATTGAAGAAAAAATGCAATTAAATAGTTAGATTGTATAAACTCAATTCAATACTATCCTTAGTTAAAGAAATAGATAGAAGATTTGATACTAAAATTTAAAATTATGTATACAGTTTAGGATATAAATAATGTTTGTTTTTTTCTAAGTAAAGAGACAATACTATGGCATTTAAAATTATTAAAGATCTTATTGATTTAAGGTTAAAATTTAATTAAATAATGAAAAAGAAATAATTAGAAATGTCTTCATTATCATAATCATTTTAAAGCTGTAAATCTACATTATTATATTCTCAATAAGGTAAATCTGCAATTATGCCTTAAATATTGAAAGAGAAGGAATTAATCTCTTCTTAATTATTTCCTTAAGAATGGAAAGGATAATAAACACTTCCAGATCTCACTACTAAATATTGTGAAAATAAGATTAATTCAAGTATTCATTTAGACTTAAAATCAATAGTTTCTTTGAAAAATTCCTCATAGGCCCAACAATAAAGTAGTTTTTCAAGTGACCAAAAGTCTAGGATATCAAAAGAAAATATTTAATAACCTTGTATTAATTAATCTGGATATTAAAATGATGGAACTTTCAATTCAATGGAATCTTTTAGAAAAGATTATAATAGTCTTGATAGTAGTGATATTAGTGATATAAATGAATTACAAGAATTTTGTCATGAAATTTAATCATAATCTAGACATAAACATAAAAAAATAATAGAAGAAGAAAAGTTCACTTAATTAATTTAAATTCATCATATATCTTAATAATTTATAAGACAAGTATTATAAATAGGAATTGATAAGAAATCAATTGTATATAAAGTAAAAGATTCTATAGTATTAAATTTAAAGGATTGGGAATCAAGTTTAAGAAAGTATTTAGAAAATTAAGATATTTAAATAAATTAATTAGAATTAATTATAAGTAATGATTCAATAACAATCAATACAAAATTAAATTATAAATAAGTATCTACTATTTGTGATTAATTTTTTGCAGGTTCAACTTATGTTGTAGTGCAATTAAATAGAAATTCTGAAGATTTTAGAAATTAATTAAAGGATACATATTAAATAGAATCAAAACAAACTAAATTTGAATAGACTGGATTAATTACTAAAAATTAATATGAATAATTGTAGGTAAATGAAAATGGTCATTATTTGGCTATGGAATTATATAATTATCTATATTTTGAAACAAATATCTAATAGAGGATTAATAAATTAATTAATTGTCGTATAAAAGAATTAGATGAATCTATGCCAATATCAGAAGTGTGTATTAGAAATAAGATTATAATTGTGTTATCATAATAGCAATTAAATTACTTAGGAGAAAACTATCAAGAGCTAGAGTGTAATAAATTAATCAAATTTGGGAAATATCTCTCTAATACATTTTATTATGTAGAAATAGAAAATAATAGAGAATTACATTTGGATGCAATAGAATAACTTAGAAAGATTGGTTAGGATTTAGTGAATATTTATAGTAATAAGAAAAGATAGAAGTATAAGAATTAACAAATAATTCAATTAAAATAAAATAGTTGGAAATTATGCATATATTCTAATATAAAGAAATTTTACATCAAATTAATAAATGATCTATTAGATATGAAATTTAATGAGAAAGAATATCTCCAAATATTTTAAGCTGGTGTTAAATTATCTGAACTATAAATAGATTTAGGGAAATTTTAAATAAAACATGAAAAAGATATTAGTAAATTGGATTAAATGATTTTAGATGATTCAAATTGTAATTATACTCTTTATATAAATTTAGATAAATGTGTATCTTAGAAAATAGATCATCTTACACCAGGAAATTATCTAACTATAGTTGTTAGATCTGAACAATTACCAATTGAAAATGTGACTTAACTTTATCCTGAAACAAGTCTCATAAGGTATTTAATTTATTATTATTTTTAGAGGTTATTTTGAAATATAAAGAAACTATTCCAAATAATAACACTTTTGAAATAATATAAATACATATATATATTTAATTGTTAGAATTAATATTCTATATCAATTATTCACATAATATTCAAGTAAATAATGATGTTTAGGTTTCTATATTTTGATAATTAATATATGAATAAATTAAAGATGATTCCTTAATTGTCTTCAAGAATCATAGCAGTTAATATAATATAATTTATAAAATAATTAATATGACTGAACAATAAAACTTAAAGGAAGATTCAAATAAGAACCTAGTTGGTACTGCCAAAGTAGTTCCTAGAGGATCAAAAGAGATTTCCAACATTTTTGGGGATCGAAGATCTTCATATAATATTGAAGGTTACGATCGTGTTATTGCAGACGAGTAATTGAACATCCTATAACAGAATTACTGATTAGTTACAACAAGGAATCCCATTAATAGATAAGGCAGTTATTGCATTAGTTGTGCTATTCACTCTTCTAGTCTTTATCAATTTTTCATTTACATGTAAATTGTTGTAAAAAATAATAATAGCAAATGATGCTAAAGAGGATCCTAATATAGATAAGACATTATTTGTGACTAAGATAATAGAACTAGTAATATTAATTCTATTTGTTTTGGAAATATCTATCAGATGTTATTAAAATGGATTTATTGTATTATATTGCATTTGATCATAGATTTATTTTTCAGATTGTTGGTCATTTTTTGATGCATTAATAATTATTGCATCAATAATCTTAATAATTTTGGATTTGAATCTATAAGGTGATGCATTTACTACTATAAGTAAGGTGTTGAGAGGCATCTTTAGATTTTTAAGATTGTTTTTAGTGTTTCGTAAAGTAAATATAATGATATATTACAATAGTATAATTAAGTGAAAAAAATCAATAATGCAGGATCAAGATATACAGTAAGATCACCAGTTGAAAAAGTGATTGAAATTATGCGTGATTTGGCAGATTAATTTGAGGATCCAGACATAATCAAATAATTAAATTGGGGAATCACTCATATATCAAATAATACTGTATATGAACCAATAATAGAAGGTAGGAAAAGTGAAGCATTAGGTTGGTTAAATCAACCTTAAAATTAATTGATGGTTTCTTAGGAATCAAGGAGATCTAGTTTAATAGATATTATCTATTCAAATGATACAAAATTGCCTGAATCTTTAAGACAAGATTTTGCAAAAAATATATTGAAATTAGATTATGATTATTTCTCTTTATTTGAAAAGTATGATAGTGCCATCTTAACTCATTTGATGTGTTATTATTTTGAAAAAGAACATTTATTTAGCACTTTAAAAATATCTCCTGATTCTTTTAAAAAATGTATGGATCGATTAGGATCTAGTTATCATAAAGAGAATCTCTATCATAATGTAATTCATGCTTTTGATGTTACACATACAGTATATTTTTTTATTGAAAAATGTAATTTTAAAGAAATTGGAAAATTGACTAAATTAGATTATTCAATTCTATTACTCTCTGCAGCTGCACATGATGTTGATCATCCAGGATTTAATAATATATTTTTAAATAATACAAGACATGAATTGGCTATGACTTATAATGATAAATCTTCACTTGAACAACATCATGCTGCAACTCTATTCAAATATATTAGAGAAACTGAATTATTTGCAAACTTTTCATTATAAGATTTCAAGTATTTTAGAGAGAAGTCTATTAGTATGATTTTAAGTACAGATAATGCTATGCATGGAAAAGGTATTTATGATTTAATTATTAGATTTTAATAAATTAAAGGCAAGATTAGCATCTAATGATTTTGATCCTGGTAATAAAGATAAAGGTATTTGTTTTGACACTTTGTTACATGCAGCAGATATCAGTAATCCCTTTAAACCAATAAAGAATTATGAATAATGGACTTTTAGAGTCTTAGGAGAATTTTGGTAATAAGGGGATAAGGAAAAAGATTTGGGACTTCCAATCACTATGTTATGTGATAGAAGAACAACCAATGTTGCAAAGAGCTAGATCGGATTTATAGATTTCATGGTAATTTATTTAATTTATATATTTATTTTAGGTATTACCTTACTATAATACTCTTCAATAAATTATTCCAGTATTAGCTGAATTTATGGAATAGATTTCAGAAAACAAAAGGTATTGGGCTGAATAAATTGAACATTATCAAACATTACTTAACACATAATGATTGTTTATCATAAATTTATAAATTTTGTTTATTATAATTAATTATTAATGTCTGGTAGTGATTCAGAACTTGAGATGATACCTTTTGAGGTAGCTAAATAAGCAGAAATTGAAAGAAAAAGATAAGTAGCTGAATAGAAAATATAAGCAAATTAAAAAAAACAATTATAGAAGGATTAAATAAAACAGAAAATTAAAAAGGATAAAGAAATATAATTAAAAGCTAAACAAACTAATTTATTTGAAGATGAACCTCCTGAATAAAGTAGTAGTACTTAATCACATTTCACTAATAATAAAATTGATGAATCATTCTAAAGAAATTTGAATGAAAAATTATCTGAAAAAGTTATTAAATCCATTAAAATGCCATAAATATAATAAGCAACAACAATCCCAATTGAAATTAAATCTAAAAAAAGTATATATATATATATCTATAATCATAGTAATTAAGAAATTTAATGAAAAAGTATCAATAGAAACATTAGGAAGAGAAGTAGATCACAAACAAAATTCATAATAATCATTAAATTTCTTAAAGTAACATTTAATTGACAAATAATAAAGAGTACCTTTATCTAAAATCATTTCAAAAAAAAAATGAATTGGTTTTATTTGTTTATTCTTTTTTATATAATTTATTATGTTTGAACAAAAATAATCGAATTTAAGAGCTTTAATCAAAATATTCTAAATATTTATCTGAAATTAACAAAAAGAAAGAATTACTCAAAAGCAAAAAGCTTTAAAGTAACATTAAGATGATAATAAGTTTATATAAGGTAGAGAAGACTCCTGTTGAAAAAAAATGATCTTTGATTTTGAAGGTTGTTAAAACTTTTTAAGAACCATAACAAACTTATTTTTATAATAAAAATTAAACACATTTTTTATTTTTTCTTTATCTTCTTTATAAATTTTACAACTTATTTTTGTTAAAGATTTGAGAGAATCTATAAAAAGTAATCTTAATAGATAATAAAATTTGTATATTTAATTCTCCTTTTTAAACTATTTATCACTCCATCCATCAATAGTATCTGAATCTAAACATACTCTTAAAATATTATATATATTTAATATGTTATTTAATTATTTACATTCATCTTGATAATCGATTAAAAAATAAAATGTTGTTAAAAATTCAAGTAATAATTTATTTTAAATTTTATATAATATAAAAAAAATTGATTTGATAGAGTAAGTTTTTACAATTTGAATATAAAAAATATAAAACATACAATGTTATAATCAATTTGAAAGATAATTACATAATTCTTGAATATCTGCTAAACATTCTACATCGATTTTAGATGTTAATAAATCTGAAATCAATTGAAAACTTGAAAAATATTAGAGGGTCAACTATTTAGCTTCAAAATCTTTCTTTAAGTTTTGTAAACTATTCTGAGTTCTCTTATTTAATAATATTCTAAAATTTGAATTTTGCTTTAAGATATTTTTATGATTGAGTTCTAGATATATATATATAAAGTATAAATACTAATATGATTTAGCAAAAGTACAGAAATTTAGCGATATCTATGTTTATTTAAAGTGGATTATTCTGAATTAGATTTTGTTTACATGATATATTTATCATTTTTTTAAACAAATATAATTACATTATGACAAATTACACGTTATTATTCTATTTATGTATGTTAATAATAATCATTATATATGGATCAGAAATTTATTTAAGCAAAAAGTCTTCAAGAAAAATTGAGTTTAATAATGTCCCAAGATAGGAGATTACCTCCTATGGAATTGGAGAACTTGTATAAGGGTATTCATGCAGAAACACAACATGCATATACTATATTGGATAAAGCATTGGATAGAAATTTTGGCGGTCTTCTTCCAGACAAAGCTTCATATAGCATGGATTATAATGAGGGGGTTTTTAAGAGAATTACAGAATCTTTGGATAACTTAGAAATGGTTGGACTTTATGCAAAGTATGTTGTACGAAATTGTCGTGTTGAATCACATAGACCTTTACTAAAATAATTAGGATATGTGACAGAGAGATTAATCAGAAAGTTTAGATAATAAGGGACTATTGAAGAACACTTACATTTAAATAAAGAAATAGTAATTGATTTAGTAAGTAAATTATGTCCTAGAGACATGACTTATAATCCAGAATTATTGTAATTAATTTTAAAAGCATATAAAGATTATAAGGATGAAGAATTATTGTAAAGACTAGCTGATTCATTAATATAGTAATGCAAAGATAATAGTAATTAGAATAGTGATCATGATTGGTTAATGCTTATATCAACTTTATTTGATTAAGCTATTGAATAATAAGGAATAAATTTATATATCCTATACAAGAAAATAGGAAGTAACAAGTTAGGTCATATAATTAACTAACATAGAAATTACTTTTTAATTAATTATTTTGATAATCCTGATAAATGTGTGAAAATATTTAAAGGTCTTATAAAATATAGTATTTTAAATGAAAATCTAGATATCTTATTAGAAATTACAGATATCTTAGAAGAATAGATGAAGTAAAAAAGTAATTAAACTTGTTATCTAATTTTAAGTGAAATATATGTTTAAGTCATTTTACCATTATTATTACCTTAATTGCATTAAAATACTAAGATCCTTGATATTTTATAAATTTATATGATAGGAATGTCAAGAAGTCAAGAATTATTAAGTGATTATGATATTGTGATAATGTGTGATAGATTAAAATTAGTTTTTGATTTGAAATGGAATGAAAGATCTATTTTCGATAATATATATGGATTTATGAATACAATTCATAAAAGGTATTAAAATAAATTATTTAATCATGATTAATTTTCTAAATTACTTAATATTGCTAGAGAAAGATGTATTGATTAATACAATCCAATAGATTATCATGTATGGGATTGTTAAACTTTAAAAAATTAAAATTTTGATGACTCTTTATATGATAGACCTACTATTGACAATTATGTAGGTTTAGAAAATCTTACTAATACTTGTTTTATGAATAGTATATTATAAGCACTTTATATGACTGATAGATTTCGTTAATTCATTTTGATAAATTCAATACCTGAAGCTAAATAATATAATGCTTTAAGAAAATTATTTATGTTATTAAATTTTTAATAATCTGGATTTTGTTCACCATATGAATTAAAGAGATTACTAAGACCTCCATATTGCAATTCAAATGATTAATAAGATGTTGGAGAATTTGCTCATCATTTTTTAGAAGATCTACTTAAATATATACCAAAAGAATAATAAGAAATATTGGAAAGAATATTCTTTGGTACACATAGATCTGTTATTGAATGTCCTAATTGTGATGTTTCATTTGGTCAAATTGAAAAGTTTTTGGGAATTGATTTACATTTAAATAAACATACTGAATTAAAAAATATGATAGCATAAGTATATGAAGAAGAAAAAATAGAATTTACATGTGAAAAATGTTAACGAAAATCTAATGATATCAAAAAATCTCTATAATTAAATGATTTACCTCCTGTTTTATTTATGACAATATAAAGGTATATTTTTATATTCTCTATCATATAGATTTTAATATGATGCTTAATCTTAATAAATGACTAAGATCCTTGCCAAAGTACCTCTCAAATTTTTAATTGATATGAGAGAAGTATTTTAATAATAACATCTTGATGCTTAAGATAGTTAATATATTTTATATGCATTTATTGTACATCTAGGAAAGAATAGTTACTCAGGTCACTATTCTTGTTATGCAAGATCTATGACTAAACCAGAAACTTGGATTTGTTTTGATGATGCTCAAATAAATAAATATGAACTTACAAGTTAAGATTTAAATTCTTAATTGATGTAAAATTAACATAATTATATAGTGATGAAGAGACACCATATTTACTATTCTATAAAAATAAATCTGGTCACTATTTAAGTATCAATAAATGAAAAAATATGTATTTATCTAATTATTAAAAATATCTTTATTTTCATATATAATATCAATATAATATTTCTAATTTTAAAATAAATCAAAATTTATTTATAATAAGTATATACTTAATAATATTATGATACATTAAACTCTTAGATTTATAATTAAAGAAATATATAATTAATTTTGGGATATTTAAATCTTCTATTTTCAAATATAAAATCTACATAATAGTAAGTGTATATTAAATTTAATAATCATTATTATTTAACCACTTTTCTTAAAGCATAACATATTTTGTGTTCTAATGTGGTTTCAATGTCTACATCTACTTCAAATGTTTTTCCTTATAATGGAAATTTGATTCTATATTTAACTGTTAGTAATCTAAATAAGAACAGATAATCTCTATTTTTATCATAAGCTTCTGCCTCCTTCTTTTAAACAGTAAAGGCTAAAGTACCTTCTAACCATTTATTAATATTATTTCTGAAATCCATGTCATGCTTTAATAATTTACCCATAGCTAATTCTACTTTCTAAAGTAATCCATTTTGAACTTTTGCATCTATAAGGATTGGTACAGAATGACGTAAAGCTTTTCTCAATTTAGCATAAGTTTCTAAAGCTAACCACAATCCTTTACTAGACTTTTGTTACATTTCTTTAAGAGATTCAAAGAATAATACAAAAGAATTGAGTTTTTTATTATTTGCTTTATTAACACTTTTAACAAAGACATCAAACACAACATTTGATATAGCATCTCTTGCAAAAGTAATAGCAGCCACAAATGAATCTATAAAATATGTAGTTACTCTCATATCAGATCCTCCACCTAAAACTACACTTTTACCAAGATTTGAATTTTCTTCAACCATTGTTTTATTCTATTTGTTTCTTGCTTTTAATTCCATTTTGGTTTTCCAAAGATTAAGACATAATTATTTTAAAGATTTAGCATGATTTCTTTCAAATAAATCTAAACATGCATCTATTTTAATATGAAATTTTTCAGCCCAAGCTGGTGGCATCCTAGGTTCCATACCACCTGATTAAACACTGATTTACTAGGGCATAGCAGGTTTCTATTAATTATATAATAAATTTACAGCATCTTCTCTAACTTTAGTAATTTCTTCTTATTTAAATCTATTGTCTCTTGCTAACATACTCAATTCTTAGGCATAACTTCTATTCAAATCTAAAATACGTCTAACTTCATGTTCAAGTATTCTAATCTTATCAAATGCATCTACTAATTCATTATCTTTGAGATATAGTGCTTCTGCAAATTGTTTATCTAATGCTTCTAATTTCAGTACTTTTTCTCTTAATTCAGCTTCTAATCTAGCTGTTTGATGATCTAATGTAAATCTTAAGGATGCTATTTCTTCATCAGCTTTTCTTTTGGATTCAGTTAATTCATTAATTCTTTTTCTTTAATCTTAAATCTCAGCATTCTTATCATTAAGTTATTGAGTTAAACTTTGTACATCAAAATTATATTGTTTATCACCTAATTCTAATTTATTTAATAAAAGATCTCTGTCTAATATTAAATTTTAAACATCATTTTTTATTTCAATTTACTTTTCATATGTTTTTTCTACATTTAGATTTGATTCTTAAGTTTTCTTTTTAATAGTTTCAAATTAAACAGTCTATTGTTGATAAATAGTATATAATTTCTTTAATTGATCCTTATAAAGCTATAATTCATGAGCTACTTTTAAATAATCTGATTCAAATCCTTGTTTGGCATGTTCAGATACATCCAAATCATGTTATAATTGCTATAATGATTAAATTTATATACTTGTATATGATCATTCATTTTTTAGATTTGATAATTGTATTGTTCTTCCCTTTCCTCAAATTCATGATATCTATCATCATAATAATCTGGTTGATTGAGTTGTTAAGTTGATTATTAGTATTGTTAAGGAATTGGATATTGTGGTTATTATTTTTTAGTGACATATGGAGAATTGTCATAACGTTGAATACCTGTGGGTGATGTAGACATTTTAAATTCTGTCTGTTATTTAAATAAAAATCTAGAATAAAATTAATGAAATTCGTGTTACTAGCAATTTTCTTATTGCTTGTCATTGCTGGAGAAGATTATTATTAATTATTAGGATTAAAGAGAGGAGCTAGTGAAGCTGAAATCAAGAAGGCTTTTAAGAAATAATCTCTCAAATACCATCCAGATAAAAATAAAGGAAATGAAGAGAAGGTAAATTAATTATACTTATTATTATTGTGTAGGCCCAGAAATAGTTTTAAAAAATAGTCAATGCTTATGAAACATTAAAAGACCCAGAGAAAAAAAAGATTTATGATTAATATGGTGAAGAAGGTGTAAATAAACATGAACAATAATAATAATAAGGTGGTGGTGGAGGAGGAGGATTTCATAATTTTTAAGGGGGTTTTGAAGAAATGTTTTCATAATTTTTTAGAGGAGGCAGTGGTGGTGGTGGTGGTCGATAACAATTTCATTTTAATTTTGGAGGAAATCAAGGTGGTAGTGGATTTCGTAATTAAGATTTTTAGGAAGGTGGTCAAGCAAAAAAAAATAATATATTTGAAAATACAGATGTTTATACTCTTGATATGAGTAATCTCTCTAGATTTTATAGAAGAGAAGAAGTTTGGGTAATTTATTTTTATTTACCAAATGGTGAAGGATAGAAACATAAAAAAGTTGTAACTGAATTAGCTGAAAAATATGAAGGTATATTTAGAGTTGCAGCAATTGATTGTGAGGATGATGAAGCATTATGTGAAGATGAATTTTAAGTTAAAAGATATCCATCTATTTCTATTTATGCATCTCGTCTTTCTGCTGAGCCTATTAAGTATAAAGGAAAGTGGGAAGTAAATGATTTAGTAAAAGAAGCTGTTGATTTGATGGAAGATTTTGTAATTATTTTAAGTGGATTCAATTTTTAAGAGTATATAGAAAAATCAAAACCTAAGGTTATTCTATTTACAAATAAAAAATCAACTCCACCTTTATTCAAAACTCTTTCAAAAGAATTCAAAGGCAAATTAGAATTTGCTATGATTAGATAATCTGAAAGACAATTAGCATCTATTTTTAAGATTACAGAATTTCCTAGTTTGATTGTTGCTTAAAATGATTAAGATTTTAAAGTCTTTGAATAAGATTTCAGGAAAGATGAGATTGTTAAATTCTTAAGATAGTTTGCATATGGATAAAAGAAGGAATCCTAATAAAAAGGAATATAAAAATTAAATGGATAGAATTATGAATAATGTATAGTAAAAGGTAAAGATTTATGTTTCATATTATTAATAAAAGATGAATTAGAATTAGAATTGATATCTAAAATTCCAAATAAATATAAAAATGATAGCATTTCATTTTATTATGGGTTTTTAAAGTATTTTATAATATTATATAAGGTAATTGACATCTAAATTTGAAGTAAATTAAAGAGAATCATATGCTGTAATTATAAAACCTAAGCGATAAACTTATACTGTTTAGAATTCAATAGAAACAAATGAAATTATAGGATTTATTGATGATGTACTTGGAGGAGGAAGAACATTCAAGAAAATGCATTCTACTTTTAGAAAAGATGAGTTGTGATTTGTTTTTTAGTTATTTTAATTTGCTTTTATTCGTTAATTTTAACAACTATTTTTATGGATAATATAGTAGAACGTACAGATGATGAATATAATGAAGGGAAACAAGATTCCTATTAACAACCTGATAGATTATCAGATAATTTAGCAAGAACAGTCTTCTTTGATTCCAATAATCTTCCTTAAGTGGAATGTTACTATCATAAAGGTTATTATATATCTAACATGTGTCGAGCACCATAATGTATAATACCTTTATGTCCTCTTTGCATACATCTTCATTCTAAAGAGCATGTCAATGAAGGCACATATCCAGTATTTGAATCATTAGAGGTCTTATTAAATTAAGCAAGTGATCATGTTAATAATGAATGTAATTGTTTAAGAGATTTTATATTATTTTAGTGAAGAAGTTCACAAATTCTTATTATGATATCAAAAAACATGTGAATACTTTTGAAGTTCATGCAGATAAAACAATAAAAAAGATTAGAGAGATTAAGAAACGTATATAGGATGTTGTAGAATAATTTTTTAATGGTTTAGAGAATGAAGTTGAACATAAATAGAAAAAGAATGTGAATAATTAAGAGAGAGATGCTAAACATTTATTATCAATGATAGAAGAGAGATGGAGATCAATGAAAGAGATGTTAAATACATTTTAAAGTTCTGATTGTTTAACAGCTCTAATTCCTTATTTCACAACAACATTTTAAGAAGATAATCATGTTTATTATAAGAAGATAGGAGAATATATAAATGCATTTCCAACTGTTAGTAGTGAAGTCTAAATAGATTAACATAGAGCGTATGTTTTATTTTATTTAATCAAAGTTCTGAATTGAGTGTATTTTTGAGTTCAATAATAAGAGTTCAACATTCATCAATACCTGATTTTATTGGGATTCATTAATTACCAACAACTAATGTTACTGAAAGCACAAAGATTAATTCTTTATAGGGAAGTAGAATCAAGGAACCATTACGTGTTACAATATAAGAGAAGAAAACATAATTTGAATCATTAGATCATAGAAAATCACCTGTTTAAGATATTAGAGGTTAAAGAAGTCCACCTCCAAATTAATAATCTATGTATCCATATCCTGTACATCCATCTATGCATCAATATCCACCTCCACATTATTTACCACCCCAATATCATAGATTTTGAAAAAGATATATTATTACAAAATAATATAATTATAATTTAAAGCAGATTATTTTTAGCATGATTTTAAAAACATAAAAGTTAACTTGAATATATGAAAATGTAATAAAAATATATGTTTGAAGAAACTGAAAGATAATTATTAAAATTTCTTAGAAGTTTAGCTAAGGATTCAACTGAAGAAATAATTATAGAAGATGCTGAAATGGATTGTATTCCAGATTCTATAAAAGCTGAATTAGAAAAGTTTAGTTTATTGTCTCTTCAATTAAATAAATGTAAATTAAAAAGTTTATCTAATTTACCTGATTCTAAATCAATAATTAGAGTTTGTTTGGATCACAATTAATTAAGTGGAAAGGAATTATCTAAATTAAATATTTATCCAAATTTGATTGCATTATCAATTATGGATAATTAATTTGATTCTATTGAAGATATTAAATAATTAGCATTGCTTAATCATCTTTCTTAATTAAATGTATATAGAAATCCAGTTGCTGATTAACCTAAATTTAGATAAGACACTTTTGAAGTTTTAAGTAAATTAGTATTGTTAGATAATCTATCTAAGACTGGAGATGAGATTTAATTAAATGAGGAAGTGAAAATCACTAAAAATTTAGAAACAATTGATCCTTCAGATTAAAGAAAAATAATAGGATGAGTTAAATTTTTATATATTATTTTATTAATTAAATAAATGCAAATGCAAGAAACTTAATTGTATAGAAAATCTGCTAATCATTTTAATGTTAGCAATTCTCTTTAATTACTGTATTGTTTTACAAAAATAACCTTTGGAATATACTTAATATTACCTACATAATTATGTGATTACAATTCATTTTCTGAATTCTACTAATAAAACCCATTACATTAATGGATAGTTTGGATAGTAATTCATTCATTTTTAAATACTTTATTGTATTTCAATTAAATAGTTTATATGAATGTAGAAGAAAATAGACATAATTTAGCATTAAAATTAGGTTAAATAAGAGATTAAGAAGAATAATTCTAGGCACATTTTATTGAGGATTCAAAACAAATAAGCATACTAACAAGATAAATTAAATATGAAGTTTAAAAATCAGTATTATGTGGTAAGTGGTATAATCGTATCTTGGGTATAATAAACTAATTACTCTTTATATTTGGATTAAACATATTTCTATCTTAAGAAACAACTAGAATAGGATGTGAATATTATCAATACTATTTCATGTGCACAATTCTAATACTCTCAATTTATTCATACATAGATTTATACATTATAGCCATATTTTGTATATTATTTTCACCATTTCTGATATTGTTTCTGATATATTATTGTGTCTCACAGTAAGAATTAGTAAATTGATTTTTTTAGTTGCACTAAAAGACAATAAAGAATAGAGGCAATGGAAAGATTGAACATTTAGAGTTACAAACCTAATTGTGTAGAAGGTGATCCTGAATGTGCAATTTGTAGATGTGCATATGAATTAGGAGAAAGTATATTAACATTAACTTGTAGTAAGTTTCATCATTTCCATGAATCATGCATTATGGTAAATTAATTTGATATTTAATTGTTAGAGTTGGATGAATGTAAATTCAACATGTCCATTATGTAGAAAAGCCATATGAAAACATTTTATATATATATTTAGAATATTGAATAGACATTCATATAAAACCAAATATGCAAAAAGCTGGATATTATAGTTGATTCTTTTAAGTCTTTTGAATTTCTTTAATAGGCAATTTGGCATATTTGAATTCCATTTTCTTTGGTTCATATGTTATGTATTTAAACATCCCATAACTAAAAACGACTAATAGTATCATAGGCATTAATCCAGCCATTAAGATAACACCTGGTACTGATCCAAATATTGCATATTGATTAGCTAATTTATTCTCTGTAATTGGTTGGAATAGTCTTGCAACACTATCTTTTAATAAACAAAACCAAGTATATAATCTTGGATCTTATTAATCATAAACAGACATATCATTTTATGCTTTTTCAAGTAAACTCAATGCTCCTTATAATGTATGTCTCTCTGTCTATGCATGAACACATAATCCAAAAAATAGAATTGCTAAAATAACTTATTTCATTAATTAACAATCATAAAATCACACTAATCAAACATCCACATACTAAAATACTTCCAATTATGCTTAAACTATTAATACTTTCATTCAAAACTACAATGTCAAAAAAATAGCTAAACAATACTTATGACTATCCAACAAGTGACATCTTATTCAATTTACCTAATATAAAACATCTATTCATAAAAAATTAAGCTAAACCTCCTGATGCACTATTCAATAATAAAAATACCCACTCTTATTAAGAAGGAAATATTAATTATGATTAATTATACAATTCAAAAAGCATAGGTAATATTATTGTATAAAAGGAAAAGTATTATAGAATTGCAATCTAATGAACAGATTTAGCTAAATGAGATATAATCACTTAAACTATTGATTATGTAATTGAAGATGATAATGCTAATATCACTCCTAACATATGAATATCATATTCTGTATTTTAATTCACATCTTAACCTAGAGCCATTAATAAAAAAGGAGGTCTTGCTATCAAAATTACACCAATGATACAAAATAAAATTATTATTATAAGTTTTAATGTTAATTTATCAGTCTTTGTAATATAAGCAGCTATTAAAGCTGTCCATAAAGGTGAAATCTTTGATAACACAATTACTTCAGAGGACTAAATCAAACGAACTGCCCAAAACCAACCTACTGTTCCCAAACCACCACATAATCCTCTCCATTATAATTTATTTATCTATTTCTATGGATAACTATCAATTTTATCCTTAGCAATCCATTTTAACATCATTATTGTAAACAATGATCTAACATACAACACTTATGTTGGAGGCACATTTGGTACTAATTTTATAGTCAAAGCAGTCAAGGCAAAGAAAAAACTTGAAAGCAAACTATAAATAATTGGAATTGCTGTTGAATGGCGGCATTCTAATTCTTAAATTAATTAATTCATAAACATTACATAGTTCATTTTTCATAGCATATATTGTACAAACCTATAATATTTATTCATTATCTTCACTATTATTAATACTAGTATTAGAATTATTCCATCTTTTTAATTGTTTATCTTATTTTTAATCTAATGTAATTAAACTATTTTTAATTAATCCCTCAATTTCAAAGAATGCTTAATCTTATAAATATTATGTCTATAGTTAAATAGTGAAATAGCTTCTAATTCACAATAAGATAATATAAAAAATAATTAATACTATAAATTAAGCAAATCTTTTAATTCGAACAAATTATTAAAATATTCAGTCATAACAAATAAGGATACGAATTATATTGGATTTATTAAAATAACTTTTAAAAATTAAAGTGTTCAATGAAATAATAAAAAATACCTTATAAAAGTTGTAACAATACCTTCTAGAAAAGTCCTTCAAGTTTTTTTAAGAAAATAATATAATTAAGTGAAAAAATTTTGGCCTAGGAAGCATTTCAAGAAGGAGTTTAAATCATTTACAATCCAATAATATAAAATGGTCTTCAAAATAGATAATGTAAGAAAAAAAGCCATCTTAATTTACCTTTAAAACACTTACTGACTATCTTGGAACATTAATCCTGTCTTCCATAATAATTTGAATAACAATGACAATTGTATATTTTAATAATTATGAATATATATTTAATGCTTTTCTCTACACCAAATAAAATATTAAATGGCTTATGGTACTTAATATAATAATTTATTTAATTTTAAGTCTAATTATTTCTTATATATAATCATTTTAATAAAGAAATTAAAAGTTGTTTTTAAATTCTAGAAAAGTTTTCTATTTCATATTAATTGTTTAATAAAAAATGATGAATAAGGAATAGAACAGATCAATATATAATAAAAAGGAAAAATACATGATAAATAAAAGAATAATTGCTTTTAAATTATTACTATAAGAAAACTTGATTTCTAAAATAGTTAATGAAAAGGATTTCCTTGATTAGATAGAAAAGAAAAGCACAATGGATTAATAAGAAAGAGTTGCTTTCAATACAAAATATGCTACATTGTATAATAAATTACACTATGAATATAAAAAATGTCTAATAAATAAACGACAAAAAAAATCAAACTTACAAAATAGAGAATATAATTCTAAGAATAATCAACTTTTGAAAGAAGAAGAAATGTATTGAGATTAAATTTTGATTTTATTACAATTATATTATCTTCTTATAATATTCTATTATTATAATTCATATCTAAAATTAAAAATATATACTACATATACTTATATTATTTAATTCGCTTTTAGAATTAATAGTTTGTTTTTATTGTTTTTCAACCTTTTTCATCCTTGTTTAATGAGATTAAATAGGAGAATCAAATAAATAAAATTATTTATTTTGATTATATTGGTAAATAAAATTATTCATTTGATTCTTGATGATAACTGATGGAATAAAGTATTAAAATTCTTGATATTTTCAGATATATATCTATTAAAATATTACAGATTTATATCTATTTAAATTTCTAATTAATTACAATGGCAAAAGAAGTTAATAGAGAAGAATATGCTAGACAGAAACATTATAAAGATAAAAAAAAACAATTTGCTATTGACAAACTTAAAACTGAATTTCCATAAAGTTTAGATTAATATGGCTAAGCCTTCCAATAAAAATTGAAAGATTGTAAATGTGAAAAGGATCCTGATCCAAAGAAAGGCATTATTCATAAGGAAGATTGTTCTCATGATGACTTTACAATTCATTAAAAAAATTAAAAGAAGCTTTAGAAAAATTATGTTTACTATAAAACAGAATACAATTATTGTAGAGGCTATTCTCCTGAATATTACTTTGCAAGATAGATTTATAAGGAAAAGTAGGCTGATTTATTAAAAATATAGATAAAATAAAAGATTCTGAAGGGGAAAGATTTTAATGATGATAATATATATTGAATTTTGTAATTGATTTTTATTTATTCATATATATTATATAGAAGTTATTTGAAATGTATTAGAATTATAATAAATAATTCTATGCAAATCTAGGCTATATAATAATATTTAATTTATAAAAAAAAAGAGTTAAGAATTTAAGAATATATTTGATAACATGTTAATTACATTACGACATTAGAAATCTCATCTGTTTTTTAATCACATATATACAAATAAAGCTCAATATTTCCATCAACATATTTATGGAAGTGAACTCTTACACAATGGACAAGTAAGATTTATTTACATCCATTATATCAAACATGAAGGATGAAATAAATGATTCTAAGAATTATAATATAAAGTCTTACACATGGTGTATTCATTAATAATTATTTTTAAGTGGCAACATTTAAAGTCTAAATAAGTACAGGTTCTTCACAATTTATTTTATATGATTCAGAAGAGTTTTTTAAATTATCAAGACATATTGAACAATCTAATTGGGAATGATAATCTGTTGATTAGATGAGGTAATTAAATTTCATATTCTTAAGTATAAATAATCCATATTGACATTAAATAAAGTATAATACAGATTAGATTATAGATATAAGTAAGACTATCCCAACAACAATTAAATTATATTTCAATTATAAAATGTTATTTGAATAGCCTGTAAAATATAAGGAAAGTATTACTCTTGGGAAAATGGTTCCAATGTAGTTATAGTTAAATTTCTATCGGTTTCCAGTAAAAAATGTGAATATTATTTAAGGTAATAAAAATAAATTTAGAAGGATAATTCCATACCATTATTTTATTTAAAGGAATAAGAATGAAATGGATGACATTTCAACAAAAAATAAGAGTATGTCTTTCTTACTGTACTTCTCTTTTTCCTATAAATTATTATAATATATATACTGATAATTTAGCTTTCAATTTAAGATCAGATAATATAGTAATCAATTGACAAACCAAACAAGGAATGAAATAATAAAATCTTGGTGTATCAAATAGTAATGAACTAAATATGCAAATATAAATGTCTTATGTTAGTATTATGGATATTGTAAGGGAACCACCTTTATTTGGTATACAATTAGAATTTAAATAGTAATGTGAATTAATAATTTGAAAGAGTGAAATGAATATGATAAGAGCAGTATAGGATTAAACATCTAATTAATATTTTGAATTGTTAAACATTAATAGTTATAATCTTTCTTCATTCATTTAACAATCATCTTCAAATTCATTATAAATATTAAGATTTTTGGAATTTTAAGATTTTTTTATTTCTAATTAAAGTTTTGCTTAACATGAAAAAGGATTATGCTCTTTATTATTTTATAGAGTAATTTCAGTTAAGACATTGTTCCATGTCATTCGACTAAAAGGTAATAATCAACAGATACTTTTTGACTGAATCAAAGTAATATGAGCTTTTATTTAATAGATAACTCAATCTGAAATAGTGGGTCTCTTTGTAATCATTATTTTATCTGGGATAGACTTATAATAATAAGTTTTGGTTATCAAAAACTATATTTAAGTAAACTAAGTGTTCTGAATTTGCTGTCCATTAACCAAATATTAACTAATCCTAATTTTCAATTAGAAATTGATAAGCTTATTCAGTATTGTGAAAAGCAAAAGTATTATCACTTGATACTTGGCTAATTACGTAACCAAATATAAATAAATAAATATTTACTTTCATTAAACTTATTTTAATTAATAATACTTGTTACAATTAATTATAAAATTTGAATTTTAGCACATTAATATTAAGAAATCAAACGTTAACTTTACAATAGATTTTATGAATAATTTTTATATTTTGAGATCATAATTTTAATGAAATAAATATATACATAAACATCATTTAAATATATCAATCAATTTACCAATTCCAATAGCAATTCCAATAACTAAAATAAATGAATATAATGATATTCTAAAATTCTTAGGCATACGTTTTAAAAGTTCTGAATGATCATTGCACTTTAAATCTTCCTATAAAATATTTAAACATAAAATAAACTTCATCGTTTAATGAAAATTTAGTAAAATCAACTTAATCTACTAAATATTCTGTTGACTCCATACTAGCTTAAACTTGATTATAATTTGGTTAATTCTTTGTCTTTGAATCATTTTTTGCATACAAACAACTCAAATGTAATGCAATAGGTATGATATATTCTTAGAATAATCCAATAACAGCTCTGTAAAAATATATAAATTAAATATTATTACCCACATAAACTAATAATTAATGATAAATCAACTTCAACACATTGAACTATTAAACATGTTATTGCATAAGTCAATGAAAAAGCATAAAATTACCATTTAGGTTGTCTTTCCAATTCATAAATTAAACCAAAGAATTATGATCTTGTTATAAATTATAAAACTGGAAAAACAAGAGTCAATTATAGAAATAGTAAAACCTATATAACTATTACTAATGGATTGTCTGATGGATAATAATCTAAAAGAGTTGATCCACTTTTTCCATCTTATTTTTAATTATTTGCTAATGCTCCAGCTACTGCAAAAGCTCCAAATGTTCCAGCCATACAATACACAAACCATGTCCATGCAAATCCTATAGCAATATCTCTATTATTATTTTATTAAATCATATTATTCTTCATTATAGGTACAACCATAGATTATATTAATAATGCCAATGCAAATGTACCAGCCATAGTAGATACATCCCAACTAAACCATTTCAAATTATCAACCACTCCTTAATGATCAGTTACCAACATATAAATTCCTTCATATATAGTGAATATGATGAATGAAAAAACTGAAATAATTCCATATGGTAAGAGTTGCAAAATGATTCCTAGTTTCTTTTAGAAAAACATAGGCAAAATAAATATAGTGAAACCTATTCCAATCCATTAATATGAAAGTTTAGATAGAGTTATATCTGTTAGTGGGGCACTTTCTATGCCAATATTATCACATATTATTTAAATTAAGGGATAAAGTTGATTGCATATTAAGATCATATAAATAATACCACTTGCCCATAGTAATATTACATTACTAATGTTAAAAATGGTCTTCCACTTTGTACCCAGAACTCTTTGTAAAGTATCTGGTAAATCCATCTATTATTATATGAATTGAGTATACCTCTTCTGATTTATTATGTACAATCAATAATTAAGTTGTTCTACATGAAATCAATCCAATTATTATGGCTATTATAATACCCAATCCTATTCCAGATTGACAAAATAACACTGGAAATACTAAAGTACTTGTGCCGACCATTGAATTTGATACAGAAATGATGGTTTGAAATGAAGAAGCTTTGCCTGTTTAAGCAATAGAGCTCTTTTTTATAGATTTGATTAGTGATTTCTTTTCCCTCTTTGATACAGATTGCTTAAGGACTTTTTGAATTTATTAGCTGACTTCAGCCTCTTATGCTAATTATGCCATAAAATTTATTAAACATTGAATTACACATCTTGAATTAAAAAATTAAGATGTTATTATGAATCATTATGTTTAAAATAATATGGATTAGTATATTTAAGAACATTATGTTTAGTATAAAAATTGTTTTTGAGTTCCAGGAATTAATTAATAATTGATATGAATTAATTAAACAACTCAAATCGTTTAATATTTCTAAGTTTTGTTGGGATTTATGCTCATTAAAGGAAGAAATCCCAGGCAACTTAGTCATAAATAGTTTGATGACTTATTATTAATTGTCAAATAAATCAAAAAAATTAAAATATGGGAATAATTTATTTATTTAATAAATTAATGGGAAATACTATAACATGTCATATTTAAAAGAAGGAAAAAAAGAAAAATGTTCAATATCTATTAGTAATTAGACAATTTATTAATATTTGTAATTTTATCATTCTATAAAGTTGATAATTATGAATTACACATGTTGTTGATGATTTATAAAGATTTGGCAGATCGTTCTTAAAATCATTTAATTTGTAGAGACACATTCAATACTTATTTTTAAATTATAGTTTGTAGAATAGTGATAATTAATTTAGGGAATTTGGGGTGAATAAATATTCAATAAATTTACTCACAAATAAGAACATTACATGAGTTTTGAAGAATTTCTTACAGGATTGTAATTGTATATAAAATGTTCAGAAGATTAATAAATTAAAAATTTATTCAAATTATATGATTTGTAAAATCAAAATGGTATTGCAAAAACTGATTTTTTACAAATGGTAATATATTTATATTATAATTTTAGTTACATAATTATTCTAAAGAAGAACTTAAAATTATATTAAATGATTAATTATTTTTAGAAGAATAAGAAATCTTAAATGCATATCATCGTACAAAAAGAGTCAAACCTAGAAAAGGAAGTGAAGATTTTCTTAAAATGTCATGTAAAATTTTATATTCATTTTATTATAGTATAAATGTTAAGAAAATATAGTAATCTTTCAGAAAATAGAGAATAGAATTAAAATGATCATTAAAATATATAATAATAACCAGATGGCTTACAAAGTTTAAATTCTAAATAATCAATTGATTAAATTTTTACATTAGATAGTAAAGCATAACTTAATGGTATACCAATGAAAGGATTTGGTATTAATCTCTCATTTTAAGTATAAATATGGAATAATTATATAGGTAAATGGATAGAAAATAGAAATGCAAGCTAATTTAAATTTATTAATTAAAAAATATGTTGAAATGGTTTATAAGGCTAAAAATGATTTACCAATAAATTTAGATGATTTTACAATCTTTGTCAAACATCATCCAAATTTAATAATGCCTTTGTATTCTGTATTCAATTTTGATGTTTGGGGATTGTAGAATAATTTACCAAAATATAAGAATTTGTAACAAATTTAATTAAATATAGACCATTAGATATTCAAGGAGAATTATATAGAATGTCAAAGAAGAACAAAATAAAATCTAAGTTTTGTCAATTATATCCTAATATTTTTATGGAATTTAAAAATAAAAATGATATTAAACCAACAAGTATATAGAATTATTTAAATAATTAGAAATTATTTGTTTAAGAGGATTGATAATTAAAGAAAGAGTTGATCATGGTAATTAGAAGTTTGGATTTGAAATATTCCATATGAATTAACATTATAAACATAAAGTTTATCATTGTTCAGATGAAATGTCATTTAGAGAATGGTAAAGAGCATTATCTCTATATTTTAATGGAGAAGTTAATAAGAAATATTCTATTCTTGATAAAATAGGTGAAGGTAAATACTCTATAGTTTACAGATGTTAATCTAAAATGGATAAATAATTTTATGCATTAAAAGTAATAAATAAAATGAATCTCTCTTAAGAAGAGTAAGATATAGTGAAACATGAAATAAGTATTACAAAATTATTAAATCATTCTTGTATAATAAAATTGATTGATTCTATTGAAAATAGAGATCAGATTCATATTATTACAGAATTGATAGAAGATGGAGATCTATTTGATTATGTTTAAAATAAATAATACTTAGATGAAAGTGAAGCAGCAATAATATTTAATTAATTATTAGATGCTCTGTCATACATTCATTCGATTGGAATAGTACACAGAGATATAAAACCTGAGAATATTTTAATGATCTTTGATAAGAATACTGTTAAATAAATTAGATAAATTAAATTGATAGATTTTGGTTTAGCTAATCATCTCACAAAAATTAAAAAAAATAATGAACATTAAAATTATAATTGTGGAACATGTAATTATTAAGCACCTGAAATGTTATAGTTTTAAGAAATTACATTTTCTGTTGATGTATTCGCACTTGGAGTTATTTTGTATTATATGTTAAGTGGATATTTGCCATTTGATTCTGATATACCATATGAAATCATATAAAATACTATTGATGGCATTTATAGTATGGATGATTATCATTGGTAATGTGTAAGTGAAGATGCAAAAGATCTAATAGTAGGGTTGTTACAAAATTAACCTAGTAAAAGACTTACTCTAAAAGAGGCTTAGGAACATGTATGGATCAAAAAGTAATTGGTTAAAAATAATAAAGGATGAATATATATAAAATATAATATGTCTGTCAATATGTTTGTATTTAATCTTCTTTATTACTTTATTCATAAGTATATATATATATTCCTTTTGTATAACACCCTTCCTATTTATTTTATAAAATTTTAATTTATAATACTTGAAAGTTTAGATTATTCTATATCATTTACAAATATACTAGAATTTCAATAGGCTTACTTAATGAGAGGAGTTCCATTACCTATTAATATGAATAGAATTGTAATTATTGAATGAAATTCTAAAGAGTATGAAAAATGAGGATAATCTGAGGGTTGAAAATTGTAATTTGTAAGTTGGATAATAATGGTAAATTTAGTGTAATTGAATAGTTCCTTTAGTTGTTATTTATACTTTAAAATAATTTAGAATAAATTTAATATTATTTATGTCTGAATCAGAAAGTAAGTCAATAAAAAAAGCGCAAAAATTATAAGGCAAATTATCAAGAAGCCAGATGTTAGAAGAGAAATTCAAATTGGAAGAATAATTGAAAGAGATTAGAGAATAATATGGAAATTTACCTGAAAAAAAGTAGGAGCCTAAAACTAATACTCAATATAGATGGAATTATATCCTAAATGAAATGGTATTATATTGAGTGATAATAGAGTGAAATGCAATAATATATGACTAGGAGACTAGAATGTTTCAAATTTAAGACTAAGAAATTAGCAGAATAAGCAATTAATAAAAGGTTAAAATATTATGAGGCAATTAAGGAAAAAGAGAAGGTAAAATTGAAAATAATATAAAGAATGAAGAAAAGAACTAATTTAGATAATTATAAAAAGTAGCCAAAACAGTATAAAGAGAATATTGGAAATACGTGTGGTAAATAAGAAAGCAAGTACAATAATTTAAGGATGATAAAATAAAATAAGAGAGTTAAAAATAGAAATTAGGAGATATAGTTATTAGATTAAAAGAAGTTACAGAAGAAATAGGATAAAAATTATCTTAATATTAAAATGAATAATAAGAAGATGAAACCAATTTAATACCTGTAGAGAAATTCAAAACACTCTATTTTGAATTAAAGAGAAGATAAAATGCATGGCCAGGATTCAAAAAATAAATATAGTCAGTTTAATCAAGTATTTTTTAAGTAAATTAATATCAGATATTGTGATTGACCTTATAAAAGTAGGATAAAACAGATATGAAATAGCTAAGGTTGAATCTAAAGATGAAGAAGTAGATGAAAGTGTATTAGATGCAGATAAATGTTTAAAAGTACTTAAAAAATCTAAATAATTTCCATTTTTATTTGAAGCAGAAGATAGTAAAATAATATTATTAATATAGGTTTATTGGAATAACAACCATTTTTATTAAATGGATAATTAAGAATATATTAATTAGTAGGAGTTCATTGGATGGCTAGTTTACATTAATAATAGATGAATGGAATTTTAGCAGATGAAATGGGTTTAGGAAAAACAATTTAAACAATTGCATTATTAGCTTATTTAGCAGCAAATAAATAAATTTGGGGTCCTCATTTAGTAATTGTTCCTACAAGTATTTTGATGAATTGGGAAATTGAATTTAAAAGATGGTGTCCTGCTTTTAAAATTATGACTTATTTTGGTTCACCAAAAGAGAGAAAATTAAAAAGATAAGGATGGAGTTAATTAAATAGTTTTCATGTTTGTATAACAAGTTATAAGATTGTTATATAAGATAGTAAAGTATTTAAAAGAAAGAAGTGGTATTATATGATATTAGATGAAGCTTAACATATAAAAAATTTTAAATCATAAAGATGGTAAGTCTTATTGAATTTTAATACAAGAAGTAGATTGCTTTTAACAGGAACTCCTCTTTAAAATGATTTAGGTGAAATATGGAGTTTACTTCATTTTTTAATGCCTTCAATATTTGATAGTCATTAAGATTTTTTATAGTGGTTTATGAGTATAGAAAAAGCCATATCAGAAAATAAAACTATTTCAGAAGAAGTATTAAGATAATTACATGATATATTAAGACCTTTTGTATTGAGAAGGTTGAAAAAAGATGTAGAGAAGTAATTACCAGAGAAAAGAGAGATTATTGTTAAATGTGATTTATCAAGAAGATAGAAATATTTATATGATGAATTCATATAATCTTCTGGAAACTTTGAAATTTAAGGAACAGATTTTGTTACTATGATGAATAAAGTGTAATAATTAAGAAAGGTTTGTAATCATCCTGAATTATTTGAATAAAGACCAGTAGAATAACCATTCTTTTTTCCTGCTCTCAAATTTACATATCCAAAAAGAATTTAAGTAAATTTAAAATAATCTCCAATCAAATTAAATATTTCATTTATCAAACAAAGATTTCCTTCTTAAGAAGTTTTATAATATTATTCAAATATAATAGAATAAAAAATTATGAATAAGAAAACATCTAAATTTGGTAAAAGATGGATTGAATTAGAAAATCAATAAGTTTAATCTAGATTTAAATCAAATATGTCATATAGTTATTTAAATATTGTATTCTATCATGCTTTATTAACATACAATCCTGAAATACTTACATTTTGTAAAGAAAAGATTAAAAGTTTTTTGATGCCAACAATTGATCATTTATTATATAAAATGCAAGAAACTATTGATGAATTTAGTTGTGTCATTAGAAAAGTAGATGCATTACCATAATAACTTTATTATAGTCCATATTAAACATAATAATAAGATATTATACCAAAGGGAATAGATTCTTTATTCTATATGATCTAAAAATAAAGGATGTTATTTCCTAATAAGAAATTATTAATTTATGATTGTGGTAAAATGAATACTTTAGTATCTTTAATTTATAAATTAAAATCACAGAATCATAAAATTATTATTTTTACATAGATGACTAAAATGTTAGATTTATTTGAAGCAGTACTATCTTTAAGTAAGATATCCTATTTAAGATTGGATGGATCTACACCAGTTGAAATGAGATAAAAAATAGTTGAAAGTTTTAATCAATTAAATATTACATGTTTTATATCATCAACAAGAAGTGGAGGAATTGGATTAAATTTAACTGGAGCAGATACTGTTATATTTTATGATACTGATTGGAATCCAGCTATGGATAAATAAGCTTAAGATAGATGTCATAGAATTGGTTAAGTTAGACCTGTTACTATATATAGATTAATTACTAATTCTACTATTGAAGAGAATATTTTCTTAAAATCTTTATAGAAAAGATAATTAGATGATTTTGTGATGTAATCTGGTATGTTTAGTCCAGAATAAATATTAAAATCATTTCAACTTTTTGATGATGAAAAAATGGATTAAGCAATCAAATAAGTTGAAGATATTGATGATAGATAGGCTGCTTAAAAGGCTTTGATTGAAGAATAAAATTATTAAATGAATGGAGCTGAAGAAATTGAAGAAATTGAAAAAGGAGATAATATGGATTGGTTAATACCTAATTAATTACCACCTATAGTAAAATATGGATTAAAAATGAGTGATTGTATTGTTAATGATAATGCTGAAATATAGAAATTATAAGATGAAATGGATGAAGGAGAAGAAGATGATGAAATAGATTAAGTAGATCAAGAAGATTAAGATTAAGGAGAAGAAGTAGAGGAAGAAGATGAAGAAGAAGAATAATCAAAAAATGAAGATAATTAAGATTAAGAATAAATTAATGAAAAAAAGAAAAAAAGTAATAGTAAGAGTGTTGATTATTCTGATTCAGAAAACCATGTTTTTTGTGTCGAAAATAAAAAATGAAATATAATTTCTAAGTATTTCATAATTACACTAATTTATAGAAAATCAAAATAATTTTTTATTCTTATTATTTAAAATAATTATAAAGATCTTTTCTGATATCTATCTAATATCAAATAAAATTCTTTTTTATTTATGCAAAAATTCACTTAATAAATGTGATATCTCAGAATTGTTATTCCACAAAATATTTTAGAACATCATTTATGGGAATTTATTTTTTTAAGAAGAATTTGATTGTCTAATAAACTCTATAAATGCATTTCAAATAAGTAATTAAAATAATTTATTCAATTCTTTTTATATACTCTTTCCCAGGTCACTCTTGATAAGTTCATTAAGATAGGATTGAATATGAATTTCTTAATCCTATTGTAAACCTCTTTGGATACTATATAAAATAGTTGTAATTTGAATATAATTTTGTTTCCATTTTTTAAAAATATCCATAATCATCTTACATGCACTGAATTAAAGATCTCTAAACTACTTATTCTTCTTATCTTTTAATTATTTTGAGATTTAAATATGTTTATCAATATGATCTATTATTGTGTCATCATTCCCTTAACATAATTGTAGGAGAACTTTCGATAACAGTCCAATCTATTGTGCCCCATTTTTAGTTGATTATTATTTATTATTTCTATCAATTAAATGAATAAGCAATTCACAACATTATTTAGTATTCCGTTCCAATTTACAAGTACTACTTAAATATTCTTCATTAATTATTTCAAAATCCTGAAATGAAATTCCTATATCTTTAATTAAATTACTGATGGAACTAAAAAAAGCATCCATTTCATTATTGTTATTATAAATAGTAAATAAAAGATCTTTAATCCTTTTACGTAATCCAGAATTGCTTAGTTGAGTTATAGATTCAATTAATTTCTATGAGAATCCCTTACTTAAAACCTAATCCAATATATTACATAATTCTTCATTATCACCATAAGAAGATTTACTTAATTAACTAAGCATGCTCTTATTCTTACTTTTATTATTTCTTGTTGATTGTGAATTATAATTACTACATACTGAATTAAAACATTTAATTAATTTATCATCTAATCCAACAGAGAATCTACTATGAACTTCACTTGTTCTAGTTGTATAATTTGATTAACATTTCTTTAAAGATTCATTTTCCTCTTAAACAGTTTCCAAATCTTATAAAGATTTTGCAAATAAAGAAGTTAATTAAGTAATTTATTCATTCATTGAATT